GAATAACCTAATACCTAATATTTTTAAATTACCAGTTCAAATTGTTTTGCACTAAATTTAGCATTGATTTTTATAAGGTATATATTTTTAGAAGGTACTTTTTCTCAAAAGTCCTTTGTCAATTTCTGCAAAATATGTGAAAATAAGCTCAGCAGTAAAAAGTAGGTACTTAGTTAAAATGAATTATTTTAGTTCAGATCCCTACAAAGATGAAACTTACCTATATAAACAAGTCTAAAAATCACCACAATATTCGTTGCTGTGTCCCGAAAACAAACAAAAAAAACACGTGTGGCACTCGGAGACTTTTTTTTTTTTATTTTTTTTTTATTGCCCTTGTATGCAGACGAGCATACGGCCCACCTGATGGTGAGTGGTTACCGTCGCCCATGGACTTCAGCAATGCCAGGGGCAGAGCCAAGCCGCTGCCTGCCGCGGTAAAGCTAATGCATAGCATTTTTTATCAACTTATGCAATTATAAATCGACAATAATAATTTAATATTAAAACAACAATAAAATAAAACCACGCTATATTTATAAACATTAACAAAAGCAAAACATTAACTGTCCCCTTCACACTCATAACCTAGACTGCGCGAGGGAGTGATGGGCAGACTTTTCATGATGTGCACGCGGCAGTGCGACGTCACGCCACGCGCTTATTCACAAACACTACACAAGCGCAACGTGTGAATGTGTTGAACGCGAGCTACATAGTAGACGTAATGGGGGTGTCAGGTTATTTTCGTTACGGAATTTCTTCATTCATTCGTCGCGCTCAAAGCCCGCGATAGAAGCTATGCAATAGCTGAAAAATTAGTTTAAAACGACTTAATTCGCTTGTAAACAAATTAATTTGATGATAACATTATAGCATTTTCTTGCCGGCAATTAGGTACGTTAAGAGCTTGGAACCTCGACACGTTCGACAATTGCTATTTCTGCACACGAAAAACGTGATCTTTTTGAACCCAGTCCACTGTTACCCCGAGGGAACGAAAAAGTGGTCGGTCACTCAGNGAAAAATTAGTTTAAAACGACTTAATTCGCTTGTAAACAAATTAATTTGATGATAACATTATAGCATTTTCTTGCCGGCAATTAGGTACGTTAAGAGCTTGGAACCTCGACACGTTCGACAATTGCTATTTCTGCACACGAAAAACGTGATCTTTTTGAACCCAGTCCACTGTTACCCCGAGGGAACGAAAAAGTGGTCGGTCACTCAGTGTCGAGTTGAACGACCTAGTTTGAAAGTCGGAGATTGCCGATTGACAATCCTCGCAAAATTAGTTTTAATAAAACGAAAATAAATTAAAATATAGGTGTACGTATCCACCCAATAAAGCACACGAATATTCATAATAAAATGTTGCTGTTCATGAGAATCTGAACTTTTTTTCACGAATAACAACAGATACCTACTTTTGTTTTACTTCACTAAAAATCTATAATGTGACGTACCTATGCTGCGTCCTAAGCACGTCATTACGGATCCTCCCGATTCATTAACGGTGCTTTTAGGTACCCCAAGCATCGGTCATCGTACTCTTCGAACCCGTCGCTTGCGACGAAGGGCTCGTTGAGTAAATTAACTGATAGACACAACCCACTGAGTTTCTCGCCGGATCTTCTCAGTGGGTCGCGTTTCCGATCCGGTGGTAGATTTTGCGAAGCACTGCTCTTGCTAGGGCCAGTGTTAGCAACAGTCCCGGTTTGAGCCCCGTGAGCTCACCTACTAGTTCGGTGAATCTAGAATAACCCTTCGAGGTTACTAGAATAGGTTGGAAAAAAAATGCGCTGCTAAAGTTTTTATACAAAATAAGCTGAATTTAATTTCTTCACAATTGCTATAGTATGTACATTTTGAATATTAAATTTGTGCTTTGAAAAGGTGACCAAATAAAGGATGATGTTGGCTTTTTGCTTTGTTTTTTTGGTAGCTCGTGATAACATATTGATATTGTTCGTACAATACGCACAACACATCGCCAACGTCCATACCATGTTGAATACACCGGTTCTCGTCCGATCACCGAAGTCAAGCAACATCGGGCGTGGTCAGTACTTGGATGGGTGACCGCCTGGGAACACCACGTGATGTTGGCTTTTTGCTTTGTTTTCTTTTGGTAACTAATGACGACACGCAGATTTTCTCCGTGCAATACGACTGTTTCATCGCCAACGTCCATACCATGTTGAATACACCGGTTCTCGTCCGATCACCGAAGTCAAGCAACATCGGGCGTGGTCAGTACTTGGATGGGTGACCGCCTGGGAACACCACGTGATGTTGGCTTTTTGCTATGTTTTCTCTTGGTATCTCGTGACGACACACTGATATTCAGCCTTTAATGTAAAAATCATCGCCAACGTCCATACCATTTTAAAAACTCAAGCTCACGTATACCTTCACGCATTTACATGAAAATCTAAATGTTAGTCTAGACTGAAGCGAGGGATAATGGTAATACGACTACTAGCATGACAGAAATTAGTTTTAACATTTTTCGTAAAGCTAATTTTATTTTATCCAGAGAAAATCTAAAAAAACAGACCAAAGGTCGATAGCAGCAGCTAGTTTTTTCTTTCTATTTCTTTGCAACGTGAACAAGCTCTGAGAGCGAGTGCGAAAACCAGGATTTTATAAAAAATAAAATGCGGAAGAGGATTCCTAAATTAAATTACGGTTTTTAAAGGTGAAAATCTACTAGTATAACAAGGGTCTATATTATTTAATACGGCTCTATGTGTAGCGAGATACTCTTTTACCACAGATAGCTTTTAAAACCAACCAACTTTACCAACTTTTAAAAACAAATTTCTTGGATTTTCTCGATTTTTCGATACCTTCTTCATCTATACAAATGATTGGTATAATAGTAAGATTCGATATTTTTTTCCCTAGCTAAGCGTCGGTAGCCTAAGGGCTTACTTATACCAAGTAAGTGCGGAAGGGTGAGCTCACGGGCTCCAACTGAGAGAATTGCTAACACTAGCCCTAGTAATCGCAGTGATAAGAATACATCTTTTAATTTATTCATAAACTAGCCGTACTCGCCCGCTTCACTGGGCATTTAAATTAACATTATTATTTATTGTCATTATTATTATTATTTATTTATATTTATTTAAAATCTTATTAATTACACAATATTTTTTAAAAAATATATTAAAAATACAATTTTTAAAAAACACTATATAAAAATAGATTGCCGCTGATGGCGGTGTCTACGACACAAGCCACCAGTGGTTAGGACTCCAGAGTGAGAAACCTCCTCACAATGCGTGCAGTATCGAGGATAACTGCTTTCTGTATTAGGCCCTTAACCCAGCTGGATAACGAAAGTTTCTTAAGATGTTGATCGAAACTTTTCGCTATCAAGCCGTGTACCGATACAACTATTGGAACAATGATGGTTGAATCAACATGCCACATGGCGGTAGTCTCGTGGGCCAGGTCTAAATATTTTATTAATTTGTCCTTTTCTGCCTTCACGAGGTTCTCGTCATGAGGAATGGTGATATTATAAAGATTATATAGATAGGGTCAGTATCAGCAATTCTCTCAGGTTGATCTCGTGAGCTCACCCACCCGTAAGGGAGAAGCTGGAATAGCCCGGCTACTAGGGATTAGGTAGGGACAAAAGGTCATAGAAAGTGCCCTATAGATTTAGATACAAGTTAAGATATAAAGTTATTTTTGAGAATACCATTTTATTTTATTCAACTTTTGACTTTTTTGGCTTGACTGAGATGTTTGCGATTTTTAGGAACTCCTTTCGTCAGATACTTTAATATCGAGAATAAGAAACAATGTTAAGTGTCGCACGACACGATATTAGGACAGGGACAAACAGAATAGCAGTGTAAAGGTTCCACTTATTTCTACTTTTGATGGCCCGAACCAACACTGCTCGACGCGCAGATCGATCTATTATCACAATATCAGGTTTATTGGCAACAATATACCTATCCGTGATAATAGATCGGTCCCAGTAGAGCGTAACATGACCATTATCAAGAACTGGTTGAGGTTGGTATTGGTAATAAGGTACAGCAGAATCAAGAAAACCATATTTCAGAGCAAGTTGTTGATGAATAATCCTAGCCACTTGGTTATGTCTATGCAAGTACTCGCCGTTAGCAAACCGAGAACAGCCAGAAACAATATGTCTAATAGACTCTCCCGGACGGTGGCATGCCCGACAAATGTCGACCGTCCCATCCTTTAGTATATATTTCCGGTAGTTGTTCGTCATGATAACTTCGTCCATAATTGCAAAGATAAAACCTTCAGTTTCCCCAAAGAGGTTACTGAATCGTAACCAGGCCACGGAAGCTAATTGGTCTACATCAGGCCCTGTGAGAGCCCGGTAGAACCTACCGTGTAACTCCTTGCTCCTCCATACGGTTATGCGATCTGAAATACCCTCTACCTTATTATTATTATTATTATTATTTTGCCCTATGCCCGTGTGCCTTCAAGGGCAATAAAAAAAACATCCGTTTTTTTTTTTTCCTACCTAAGCTGTGAGCCTTGAGAGGCTATTTCAGCGTAACCCTAACTTTTGTAGGTGAGCTCATGGGGCTCAAACCTGATGACGTTGCTAACACGAACCCTAGCAAGAGCCGTGCTTCGCAGAATCTACCACCGGATCGGAAATGCGACCCACTGAGAAGATCCGGCGAGAAACTCAGTGGGCTGTGTCTGACAGTTAATTTACTCGTCGAGCCTTTCGTCGCAAGCGACGGGTTCGGCGAGAACGGTGACCGGTGCTTGAAGTACCTAGAAGCACCGTTAGTGGATCGGGAGGATCCGAGATGACGTGTTTTGGGCGACGTCGACTGCTTTCCATTCTGTCCGCAGGATCGGGAATGTAGTTTCCGGCGGCCACGATGAGAGGGTTCTCGTGTCGTGCTGCTTTATCGAAGTGGAAAAACATCCGTAAGAACCGCTGTAGATTTATATATTAGTATAGATAAAACAAACACACGCAATTCTCGAACATTTATTTCTTTTTACACGTTTTCTTATGTCTCAATATATCGACCGGAGTCGAATACAAAACCGCCTCGCAATTCTCGCACTTAAACTCCTTGCAATTAGGTTTATTCTCCTTTACAGTTTTACTAGGGCCGGGTTCCTCTTTCACCGCTCTCGCCGAACAAGTGAACAGTTTGTGTTGCAGTCTCTCCAGCGGCGACAGACACATCGACATCTCGCATTTCTCACACGTCCAAGGTAAACCATAAGTTTCTTGGTACGTGTTGTAACTCCAATCTGTGTCGACGACGCTGCAAGAGGACATGTTAATTTACTAATTAACCCACAGACTATTATTACGTGTCTCCCGTCTTTCAGGACTATTACAAAATAATAACAAACTAGTCGGTAGTGAAATTATAAGTTTGTACACTATTACGATTCTATAGTCAAAGACTATTATACTTCCTAATCACAGATTTCGCCAAGACTACACTTTAGATAAATATTAATAAAGACAAACAATATTTCTGCCGTGAAGCAGTAATGCGTTTCGGTTTGAAGGGTGGGGCAGCCGTTGTAACTATACTGAGACATCAAACCCATATCTCAAGGAGGGTGGTAGCATTTACGTTGTAGATATCTATGGGCTCCAGTAACCGCTTAACACCAGGTGGGCTGTGAGCTCGTCCACCCACCTAAGCAATAAAAAAAAAGATTGACTGAAACCACAAAATTTGTCAAGAAAACGATTCTATATTTATATACTTATCTAACTTCGTATTGAAATCGAGGTAGGTGTACAGAAAACATCCAAACCTCTTTGTCTATATAAACGTGAAGAATTTAATAGACCGCTAATTCTTTTCGTTCGAAACGATCCCTCTATTGGTATTATTAATATCATTTTTTTAACGCCGCGATTGACTAATACGAAATAAAAAAGCTTAGAATCTTCGAAAACGTAAACATTTAAAAACTTACATTTCATCATCCATTGTCAGTGGTTATTGTAGACATCGACGAACCTATAGACACCGTCTACGAAGTTTATGGGTGACCGCTGTAAAGCAGTGGCTACACATCTACTGGTGTATCACTACATCGTATAAAACAAAGTCGTTTTCTCTGTCCCTATATCTGTCTGTCCCTATGTATGCTTAAATCTTTAAAACTAAGCAACGGATTTTGATGCGGATTTCTTTAATAGATACGAGTGATTGAAGAGGAAGATTTATATTTATAATAACATTCATTAAATAGTGGAGAAATCAATAATAAATTAGTTTCCGAAGCGAAGCGAGGGCGGGTTGCTAGTTGAATAATAAAACAGACTCACCAATTATAAACGATATTATCGGTGACGTAGACACCGCCTTTCTTCTCGTGAGGTCGACATTCGAAGCCTTCTTCGAACGGATTAGGGTCGATATTTGGATGCGCTTCATCATTACCGTAGTACAATATCTTTAGGTCGCCTGAAAACCATTTTACATTTTCCTTTAGATGATCCTCACTATTTGTATATAACATGACGTTACGTGGCGTGACGTGAGATGGCTTTGCATGACATGACGAGATGTGACATGGCATGGCGTAACGTTACATGGCGTGACGCGACGAGACATGGCGTGGCATGACGTCACGTAACGTAACGTAACGCGACTTCACGTAACGTAACGCAAAGACCTCTCACCCCTTATCCAAATTTTGATGCCATTCTTTATAAGACTTTACAATGCTGGGTAAAATTAATAAAATATTCCTATTTGGAATTTTTAGTAGACAGAAGCGTTCACAATACGATGTCTATGAGCTCCAAAAATAATTCAACAAATAGCAGATATTTATTAGTATTAATAGGTATTGTTACGCCGGTAAGAGTAACGTCATCTATCGCCGAATAGTCGAACGAACATCGAAGGATCCAGAATGCTCGAGAATTACAACGCCATCTATTGTCAGATAGCGGAAACTGCTACTAGACAGGTGTGGAATATTCTCGATAATTCTAGGGATGAGGTATCGGCTATAAAAGCGTTGTAGGGATGGCACGCAGTCAGTGAGTAATTGGAACTACTCGAAGCGAACCAGCGAACGGATCACCTGAAGCGAAGCGGAACAAGCGAATTAAGAGTTTTAAAGTGTTTGTTGAATGTTTTCAAGTGTTTGTGAAGCGTTTAAGTGTTTTAAGTGTTGAATACAGTTTTTAAGTTGTACTTTGGTGATATTTTATTTATCCCGAACCCCAGCGCGTAACAACAGTATTACCGTACCCGGTAGTAATCTCTTGATCGTATAATAAACTTCGCTGTTCATGTACGAACTGATATCGCAGGACAGCTCGTACTGTGTTTCCTCGTACGACGACTTTGAGTGCTTCTGTTTCTCCAATTCCGATTCCACGGTCTTCGCTGGGTTCGCGTCTGTAATCGACAATAGCGTCGTGACATGATGAATTGCAATTTTTTTATTGCTTATCTAAGCAATCAGCTCGTCAGATCACGGCTGTCAGTTCGTTCCATCTGGTGTTAAGTGGTTACTGGAACCCATAGACATCTACAACGTAAATGCGCCACACACCTTGAGATATAAGTTCTAAGGTCTCAGTATAGTTACAACGGCTGCCCCACCCTTCAAACCGAAAAGCATCACTGCTTCAGGGCAGAAGTAGGCGGGGCGGTGGTACCTAGCCGTGCGGACTCACAAGAGGTCCTACCACCAGTAAAGAACCAACAGACCATTGGTTTTTTTAGAAGTGAAACTTCTTTAGGCGCATTGAGAGTAAAATTCAAATCGCGACAGATTCGTTACGGCTAGAGATAAAAGATACAATTTAGGAAGAGCGAGAGTGAGAGAATAGACAGAGCGTCTCCCGAACCACTCTACCGAGAAGAAAGGGAAGGGACAAAGCGAGCTAGGTCGTTTCTCTTATACACTGCATTCCTTATTACAAGAAAAATTTGATTTAAAGATGAAAAATGAAGAAAACCACAATACTATAATACGCACCGCAATAGAAGTTTCACTTCTTTCACGTGCACCATTTTTTTAAAGTCTGACATAGGCGTCTCACTCGATACGAATGCACCGGGCGTTTTATCACCTTTAGGCCACGACGACTTAATTCTGCCGCAAAGGGTTCATGAAAAGTCACGTGTCTATGGTCTCCAATAACCAAAGTACAAAGTACTTCTTACTAGCACCACCTACTGTTTCAGTATACATATTTCTACGTCACCAACCTGCAAGTCGTCGGTTCACCAGATCGTTCCACCTCCGTCTCAGCCTAACAGCTTTCATCAGCAGATTTAACCCGGTTTCAGGATAAGGAAACTCCAACAGGAGCCACGAGTCACATACTATCCTGTAACAGAGCAATACGTTCAAATTGATTTCTCAAGGCGGGCGAATCTGCGTAATTACTGGTGGTGGGACCTCTTGTGAGTCCGCGCGGGTGGGTACCACCACCCCGCCTCATTCTGCCGTGAAGCGGTAATGCGTTTCTGTTTGAAGGGTGGGGCAACCGTTGTAACTATACTTGAGACTTGGATGTCTAAGGGCTCCAGTAACCACTTAACACTAGGTGGGCTGTGAGCTCGTCCAACCAACTAAGCAATAAATAAAAAAAAGAATGAGCTCGCAGCCCACTTGGTTTTAAGTAGCTACCGGACCACATACATAGCAACGTGAATACCGCCTTAAGATACGAAATCGAACTTTCAATTTTGTTCACGACAGTCCTATACAAACTACGCTGTAGATATAAGCGGAATTGAGGTACATACCCATGCGAGCTCACATTACGGCACACCATCAGTGAATACACAATAATACTAATAAGATTATCTTCATATCTTAAGCCGATTACTTTTATTGGCTAATATAAAATTAAGCCTTATGCGGTATGGGTAGAGTTCGTTTTACCTTGTAAATCCTATATTGGTATCAATGGAATGCGCCAATAGCAGCAGGGTCTGTGCGGCCGGCATCCTCATGGAATTCACAATGTACGGCTTAGTTGTTTCGAGCAGAGACCTGTAATATTGGTACGGTACAGTCGTGAGCAAAATTTATTTATTTATATATTATTTATTTATTATATATTTATATATATTTATTTATTTTTGGTTAACCTAATCGCTGGTAGACTAAAGCGCTCTGTAAACGATCAAATTGTTTGTCAAATATTACGTGTTTGACGCGTTTGATGGGTGGGTACCACCACCCTACCTATTTTTGCCGTGAAGCAGTAATGCGTTTCGGTTTGAAGGGTGGGGCAGCCGTTGTAACTATACCTGAGACCTTAGAACTTATATCTCAAGGTGGGTGGCGCATTTACGTCGTAGATGTCTATGGGCTCCAGTAACCACTTAACACCAGGTGGGCTGTGAGTTCGTCCACCCATCTAAACATTAAAAAAAAAATTTGATTGACGGCGTGTTTGACAAACAAGTTTGAACGTGTATGGGGGTGTTTGTGAAACAAGATCTCAGTCGTTGCTCGACACGACGTCTCGTTACGGCAGGAGAAAACCGAACCTACGGGTAAGTTAACAAACTTGTTTGATCTTTGGTTTGATCGTTTTAGCTATTGTTTGATGAAAACGTAAAGTTTGACGAACAAATTTGTCAGGCAAATTTGATCATTTACAGGGCGCTTAAGGGCTTCTAGCTACTAACGGACTGGTCGGTGAGCTCACGGGCTCATCCTGCTAATTTGCTAACACTAGTCCTAACAAGAGTAGTGCTTCGAAGAATCAACCACCGGATCGGAATAGCGACCCACTGAGAAGATCCGGCGAGAAACTTAGAGGGTCAGACATTTCACCCGCTTTAAATTAGATTATTCAGAAATAATTAAACGCATTGCACTTTTTCTAGGTTAAGTGTCTGGCAAAAAGAAGATAGACCGTCCCTTGGTGTCGCTCAGTTGAGTAGGAACTTGGGGTCTTAGGCATGACATGAGGGGAGTTAGAACACACTGCTCAAGACCGATGCAAATAAAAGAATTTGATTCGAGCCCTATCAAAATGAAATCAAATAAAAAAAAATTCAATTCAATATTTTTTGTATCTATATAATACCTATATAAAAATGAATTGCTGTTCGTTAGTCTCGTTAAAACTCGAGAACGGCTGGACCGATTTGGCTAATTTTGGGTCTTAAATTATTTGTGGAAGAAAGTTTAAAAGGTAGATATGTAATAATAAAAGATCCAGAGAAGGTTTAAAAGGTAGATGAATATGAAAATGCTCGGAATTGAATCAAAATAACAATTTAGTTGTCCCTTTGATGTGTGAAAGTTTCGGTCTTTTATTTATTGATTGAGGCACTACGAAGTTTGCCGACATAAACGAAAGTACATACTTGCTGAACGTCAAAAGAACTACCGCCAATTCACAAGAACTAGCCTCCGTCCTGAGAACTGGCAAGAAACTCAGCGGGCATGCCATTTTTTTTTTTTTTTAAATAGTATGTTTTTTTTAAATATTCATTATATACTCCAGCAGAGGATAATGGGAAATAAAGAAGAAGACTTTCGTAGGTCACTCTCTGCTTCACAAACTACTACTTTTCAAGCAATTAATATAATATAATATACTAGCTTTTGCCCGCGACTTCGTCCGCGTGAGATAGTTACTTTGGCAGAACGCTAAATATTACCCGCCTCTTTATTTACGTAGAAAATAAAAATATTTTTGAATAATAGAATGTTAAAGAGCTATTTAAGGTACCAAAATCACGCTTTTGAACCGACTTCAAAAGAAGAAGTTATCAGTTCGACATAGATTACATAGATAAAAAATTATGGCATAAAAAACGTTATATATAGTGAGCCAACCTTAACATATAGAAATATTATTATGCTGCTGCGGACTTTTTTTAGATCTTTTAAAGGGTAACAATTTTTTCATACATTATTTTAGCGAAACTTTAACCGTTTCCGCAGCGCACGCTGTGGAAGCTCTCAAAAGGGAAAAAAAACAGATTTTGAAACATTATTTATTGGTGCTCCGCTTGCATTGTTCTTAGCGTGATTTTATAGCCTTCCTCGCCTTTTTCGATAAATGGGCTATCTAACACTGAAAGAATTTTTCAAATCGGACCAGTAGTTCCTCAGATTAGCGCGTTCAAACAAACAAAATCTTCAGCTTTATAATATTAGTATAGAATCTATATATTATAGTATAGTCTAGTATAGTTTTTTAGTTGGTCTTTAAAGATGTGACCACATGCCGCAGGTAATACTTACAAATAACACAGTAACTGGTGTTTTGCTGACAAGGGTAGTTTACTCTTGTACCCGGCGGGCGGGTCCGTCTGTATGTCCGCCTCCGTCAGCATCAGCACGCGGGGCTGCTTCCCGAAATACGAGGTGGGGTGTAGGAACACGAAGGGCTTACTCCAAGTGTGGTACAATTGTTCGGCTACGGACTGCAAAAAACATTGGTTTTTTTATTTTTATTACGTCAGTTTATTTGGGTAGACTGAATTGAATTTTTCTTTAAAAATTTTATGGCCTGGTAACGAAACCTTTAAGCCAAGTCCTATTTTGAAATGAGATGAGGTTGATTGATGCACGACTTTAATCAACTAAATGAGATGGGATGAGTTAAAGTATCAGTAAAATGTTGGTTGTTTACTGAGAGTTTTTCAGCCGATTTTTTGGAAGAGCAGTAGAAGCTATGTCTAGTGATTTTGTTAATTTTTTTTCGTATTTATTTATTTAAAAAAAAAAACAAGAATTTAATTACAACGCCATTTACTGGGTCAAGTTGTTTATCTAAGCTAAGCCACGTAAACTAACAGACCAAAATTTGTGAAATGTGCTGTAATCTGTATAGTGAATGTGTGTTGTGTTTTTTTAAGTGATGGTTTTAGAAGTCAAACGAGTGATACCGGCTACATTTTATATCGAAAAAATCACATTTCCACAGGAAACTATACTGGCATTTTTCTTTGACTATGCGGTCGAAGCCGCGGGTAGTAGCTAGTTATACATATAATTGAGATGAGAACCAACTACAATTCGACTAGTTGAGTGACGGATATTCGATCTTCTGTCTATGATCCCAAGAGCTACTATAAGTTTTTTTTTATCGACTCTACTCTTACCTTGCAATAATTGAATTCATCGGCAACTGCTACTTGTGGGTACAGCGCTCTGGCTAACACAATCTGGAAATGTTTCAAAACATTATTATTTATAGACACCCAAAGATTATCATCAGTACATTTTAATTATTACATAATATTTTCTGTGGTCTCGTCGAGCCCGTCGCTTGCAACGACGACTTACTAGTCGAAGTAAATTAACCCACAGACACAGCCCATTGATTTTCTCGCCGGATCTTCTCAGTGGGGGGTCGCGTTTCCGATCCGATGGTAGATTCTGCGAAGCACGGCTCTTGCTAGGGTTCGTGTTAGCAACAACGTCAGGCTTGAGCCCCGCGAACTCACCCACTAGTTCGGTGAATCTAGAATAACCCCTCGAGGTTACTAGAATAGGTGGGGAAAAAAACACGTGTGGCACTCGGGGACTGCCGCGGTAAAGCTATTGCATAGCATTCTTTATCAACTTATGCAATTATAATTAGACAATAATAATTTAATATTAAAACAATAATAATAAAATAAGACCACGCTATATTTATAAACATTAACAAAAGTAAAACCTTAATTGTGCCCTTCACGCTCATAAGCTTGATCGCGCGAGAGAGAAATGGGCAGACTTATCATGATGTGCATGCGGCAGTGCGACGTCACGCCGCGCGCTTACTTACAAACACTACACAAGCGCAACGTGTGAATGTGTTGAACGCGAGCTACATAGTAGACGGAGTGGGGGGTGTTAGGTTTTATTTTCGTTACGGAATTTCTTCATTCGGTTGCCGCGCTCTAAGCCCGCGATAAAAGCTATGCAATAGGTTAAAAAAAGGACTCGTACGACTTCACAAGCAAGGTCTTGCTACCAGTAAATGTCAGTTGGGGTTAAATCGCCTTTCTGACCACCACGGAACGGCGGTGGCGCTAGTACCTGAAGGCAGTACACCGTAGACCTTACCTTCAGCATGACAAGGTCCCGTCCACTGGACGCGCTGGAGCCGGATATCAGAGCCTGGATCCTCTGAGCGTCGTTGCTCATACGGAATTCAATGTCCCTTATATCGAAAACATTGTCATCCTCGTTCTCATTCTCGTCGACGATCTCCCACGAGTCTATCTTCAAACGTTTCTTGCGTTTCGAATCTTCAGCCGATTTCTGTTTGTATTGCCTGAAAATTAAAAAAAAATGTGCATATTTAGGGGAAATTTACTATAATTTATTAGACCCAATTTTGTTTATAAAATGGTACATTAATGATACCAACATAATTTTTTTTTGTTCGTAAATAAACAGAGGCCTAAAATTAATCGGTAACAAAGTTTTCGTAACGCAAATACTCCAATCACTTGGACGTGAACTTCTAAGAGCGGGATTGCCATTTTACAATTGAATTGACAAATCTCATGTCAAACAGGGGTTTTATCTTGTAACGCCTATGGCGTTCCGTAACCACTTCAAGCCAAGTGTATCGTGAGCTAGTTCACCGATCTACCTAATAACAAAAACATTATGTAGACGTGTACATTTAAATTAGTCTAGTGTATTCCTCCTTTGCTAATGTTGTTTCTTGCTTGCTGATTGTTTTTAATTTCTTTGTTTCTATGTTTTTGTTTCTCTGGTGTTTTAATTTGTTTATGTTGGTGAGGACCTTTAATTGGCTCTTTGTTTTTATTATTTGTTATCTATACTAATATATAAATCTACAGTGGTTTTTACGGATGTTCCGTTATAACTATTGAACCATGCATCCGATTGACTTGAAACTTGGTATCCATGTAGAAAATACATGTACTTAAATGGATAGACTAATATTTATATGAGTGTTGGACTCCCTACACCAGTTGCGGGGGCGTTAATGATGAGAATCTTTGTGAGGGGTGAGAAATAATAATGTTAATTTTAAATGCCCAGCGAAGCGGACGGGTACAGCTAGTATTATTATACTATGTTAGTTGGCTTGTAGTAAATAAATAAATAAAAATTACAAATCAAATCTCGCTTATAGAAATTAGCGGACACATTCTTATGCAGAGCTGAACGATTCTAAAGAAAATATGTTTTAATTTGCTACAAATTATGAAGTTATTCAATATAGGTACCTCCTCATGTCCTTGAGCTGTTTCATCTGGCCGTGACGTAACGCCCTCTCCGCTGAAGACATCGTCTCCGGTTCAGGAGTCTCAGATAGATTGTTGTCCTGTTACCAAACAATTAAAGCACCAGCAAAACTTTGAGAGGCTGCAACCCATAGACGTCTCTATCTCGAAATTGTCGTGATTATGATACCCTTTAGGGCAGGGGTTCCCAAACTTATTTTGTCTACTGCCCACTTGGAGAATAAATAATTTTTTAGCGCCCCCAAATATTCATATACCTAAAAACCACTATAGTAAGAGTTTAGTCGGTGTCTAAGAGTCCTCATAGATGACATTACAAATCGCCTCTCATACTTCTGCACAACGCTCCCATTTTTTTCTGGGTCTGTTACCGCCCCCCTTTAGGCCTGCAGCACCCACACGGCGTTATCGCCCACTTTGGGAAAGACTGCTTTAGGGTAATACGCCCGGTGTATTTGTATCGAGCGAAGCGACAGTGCCGGTTTTCGAATACCCGCATATAAGAACCAATTATTTCTAATGACATTACGTACTAAACTCATTCAGGTATCTGTCAACTGTATGACAACTGTCAAAAGGTCGTTCAATTTTACTAAGTAATAAATAAATAAAAAATTAATGCCGTTTTCGCTATAAAATCTAGTCTGCNAATACGCCCGGTGTATTTGTATCGAGCGAAGCGACAGTGCCGGTTTTCGAATACCCGCATATAAGAACCAATTATTTCTAATGACATTACGTACTAAACTCATTCAGGTATCTGTCAACTGTATGACAACTGTCAAAAGGTCGTTCAATTTTACTAAGTAATAAATAAATAAAAAATTAATGCCGTTTTCGCTATAAAATCTAGTCTGCCTATGCCGTACATCAAGTCCTCAATTTGGATACCTTACCTGCAAGAGGCCCCTTAGTTGTGCCGCCAATTTAGTCAGCTCGTAGAGTCGCTGTTCCTCGATGCCCCGCCTCTTGCACCAGCTTCTCCCGCCGCGCTCCTCGGCTTTGACACGCAACCAAGCGCAGTACAAGGACAGTAATGTCAGCGGGTCACCGTGGTCTGATTCATCAGGCTTCCTTGCATTCTAGACATCAGAATCGATGGATGTGTAGCTCACGGTAGCTCACGCTCACGCACGTATAGCTCACGGTTTATTTGGTGTTGAGTGGTAACCGGAGCTTGTAGCCGTGACAACATGTGTGAATAGTGACGACGTGAGGTCGAATCTTCAATTTTATTGTATAGCAGCCGTCGAGCCCTTCGCGACAGAAATGGGCAGGATTGTTCTTATCTGTTAAGACTTGCAAGACGCTACTACTGTTACACGCTAGTGTTATTCTTAGATCGTGAAAATCGTTCGTAATCTTAAGAGGGTATTTAAAAAAAAAAAATATTTATTTTTATTGCATAGATGAGTGGACGAGCTCACAGCCCACCTGGTATTAAGTGGTTACCGGCGTCCATAGACATCCATAACGAAAATGCCGCCACCCACCTTGAGATATGAGTTCTAAGGTCTCAGTATAGTTCCAACGCTTGCCCAACCCTTCAAACCGAAACGCATTACTGCTTCACGGCAAAATAGGCGGGGTGGTGGTACCTACCCGTGCGGACTCATAAGAGGTCCTAATACCAGTAATTACGCAAATTAAATAAATAAATAAATAAATAAATATTTACTAACAATCACGCCACGTTAACTGGTCCCGTGATAAGTTCGTAAAGAACTTGTGTTACAGGTACCAGATAACTGAAATAAATGTAAGATTTTTTATTATACACATACATATATTTAATATACATCCATAACCCTGGAAAAGACATTTATATTTATTATACAAATATCTTCCCTTGGCGGGATTCGAACCCGCAACCCCCTTGTGTAGTAACCATGTCACTTACCACTACACCAGACGGCCGTTAATTATAATTTTTTCACACCTACCTCACAATCGAAATCTCGGTGCGCTCTAGTGGTGAAAATGGAACGAATCCCTAAAGCGGCGGTCAACGCGAGAGCAGAGTCTCTCTTGTGCGTCTGTAAAGTTGCGCTCCCGATGACCAGGGCTTTCGCTAATGAAACTTCAACTGGCAGATTCGATAAAGCTTTCCCTAGCGCTGTTAATTTCTCGTTCGAGGTTAAAGCACCCTGCAATAAATAAAGTTATTGTAACGATTTCCCGAACAACAAGAATATATCGAGGCGTGAAAGGCTTTAAAGCTTTAAGCGACATTTCGCTTAATACACGACATTTATCTTTGCAATTAAAATCAACAGCTCGATGTTTTTAATTGAACTTAAATTAAATTTACTCCATTTTTTTATTGCTTAGATGGGTGTACGAGCTCACAGCCCACCTGGTGTCAAGTGGTTACTGGAGCCCATAGACATTTACAACGTAAATGCGCCACCCACCTTGAGATGTAAGTTTTAAGGTCTCAGTATAGTTACAACGGTTGCCCCACCCTTCAAGCCCAAACGCATTACTGCTTTACGGCAGAAATAGGACTGGGAAATAGGACCTACCCGTGCGGACACATAAGAGGTCCTTCCAACAGTAAAAACTTAAATAGCAGAAGTTTTTTTCTTGAAAATGTCGCTTAAACCAAATAGCCTTTCACCCCTCGATATAATTTTAGTCGACACTTTTAGACATACTGAAATATTTGTAACGCAGAGGATGACATATGGAGGCCATAGAAATGATAACGTTAATGTCACCGCCCCTGAGACAGAGAATCCTTGAAGTTTAAGACCCGATCGCCCCGTGTAATGGTTGATAGGTCTACTATATTTGCCAGAGACAAATATGAGACAAGGATAAGAAGACCCTGACTCGACTAGCTACGTATTATTATATAAGTGTATTTAAGGACAAAATAAAAAAAAGAAAGAAAAAACGCACCAGAACTTTAATCGTTAATCATTTGTTGTTTTATAGCTGACTTGTTGTTACTTGATATTATATTGACATTTCTTGTTTTTTTTTTTTTGATATGACATGACATTTATTAGACATTCATATTAATATTTCAACAATTATTACTGTTTTACGTGTTAAATTTGAATTTCAAAGTATGTTTTCATTAGGTATTCTTTTCATTTTTTATTGTATTGCATCTTCGAGCCGATGAATTGCCAATGTTATGTACGCCATTATTGTCACATACATCAGGCCACAAATTAAATAGTTTAAGTTATTTTCCATGTTAAATGTTTGTGATGTGGCAGTACTTTTTTTAAATAAATAAATAAATAAGTATGTTTTACAAATATACTGCCTAAGAACGATATTTATTGTATAACCTATATCTAAGCGTATATTGCCCGGGATGGTACCAGGAGATTGGAAGCACAATTGCAATATTCCGTCGAAAATGCCTGACCAATGCAGCGAAAATACTTCTTTTTTTTAATTATGACTCATACAGTTTGTGCTTTAGCCATTGTCAAGTGATAAGATTTTTTCGCCGTTTTAATTATTTACAGTTTATGAATAATAAAAAACGAAGGAAGCTGTCCATGTTGGCCATTCTTAATATCAGTGTAAGTATGAATTAAATTAGCAGCCTGGGACGTTATAGATAAATTAGGTTGAGAAAGTAATTTGATTAATGTAGTAATTAGCTCCGCAAATGATAATATGAAGTGAAATGAAATGAAGTTGATTAATATTACGAAACGTGATGAAATGAAATTAAATGAGATGAGATGATATGGGATGAAATATAATCTCTGTAAAATGGTGAGCATTTACTGAGACTTTCTCAGTGGAAGATCCCGAGAAGCTAGGTCCAGCGGCTTTGTTTCATTTTCCCACATTTGTTCGCTTTTACAGATACAACAGTTAATAAACCACCGTTATTACACATTTAAACCTGAAGAAACATTAAATAGACAAAATAAAACAAATCACACAACTTCACTCCTCGCGTTCCTGCCAAAAAGCCAAAAATGATTCTTTGTCCACTATGCGGTGCGCTAGAGTGCGTTGCTCTTTTTTGGTGTATTTTCCTACCTAAGCTGAGAACCTTGAGAGGCTATATCAGCGTAGCCTTAATTAGTAGGTGAGCTCACGGGGCTCAAACCTGACGACGTTGCTAACACGAACCCTAGCAAGAGCCGTGCTTCGCAGAATCTACCACCGGATCGGAAACGCGACCCGCTGAGAAGATCCGTCGAGAAACTCAGTGGGCTGTGTCTGAGGAGGTGCGTTGCAACCTCGACCTTCTACAGGAAACTAAAGGTCTAACCACACTCTAACCCTTTTCAAACAGCTTAATAACTAAGCCAAAAAAAACCTTCTCACGTGCTGTTTGAGCTCCAACAGCGCATTCTCGATGCTCTCCTCGGGTGGAGTATCGATGAAAGGGAAGCGCCTGACGTCGTTCACCCCTAAAGAGCTCATCAACAGGAGCAGAGAGGCCAGCGGGACCCTGGACACCTCTGGAGTACTGAACGGCTCCATATCCGTGTACTGTTGTTCGGAATATATCCTATAGCAGACGCCGGGACCTGTGCCGACAATGAAACTCATGATAATTCGTAATCCTAATAATTTCGGTCCTTTTATATGTGTTTTTATTACTTTACACTTGTAAACGACATTGCAGAAAAAATTATAAAATAAAAAATAGTTTAAAAAAATCTAAAAAAATACGCTTTTATAGAAAATCCAACTAAAACGTCTAATCTCACGCGAGATGCTTCAAACTTCTATTTGGATGGTAAACGTGTTGGATTATTGAGAAAATTGAGCTCTTTTACTTTTATTGAAGACTAGCAAAGAATAGTATTTGTGAATATTACCGTAATTTAAAATCACAATCATAAAATTAAATAATGAAACAATCAAACAAACAATGTTTTATTCTAGAAATAATTTTTCACGCAATTTTATACAGTTTTCTGCGAGAAATATAATTACGTGATATTTGCCAAGACAGGGGGGTCTTGGCAAATATCACGTAATTATATTTCTCCCTAAGTGAGATTCGGAAAGATTTCGCTTGATCCCCTCCCTCCCTAGAACACCTCACGTAATTAATGGACCCCCCTTATATAAGACATCAAATTATATTACCCGTTCTTCCGGCACGACCTTTCCTTTGGTCGGCGCTGGCCTTCGATATCCAAAACTCCTTTAACCTCTGCATCTTCGATGTCGGATCGTAGCTCATTTCTTTTACCTACAAAATACGCTTTGCTTTGTCATTCTCAATCTATTTACCTTGGCTAACAATTATCATTGAATCTAACTTGTAACCATTTTAATTCATCCAATCATAAATTTGATTCGAGTTGGCAAGTTATTTAGATATTTCCAATTTAGTTTATTGTTTAGAAGATCATGGATACCATGTTATAAAAAATATCGCCGTTAACCGTTGACTTAGGCATCGCCAAAGGTACGACTGGCTCCCATAAAACACAGATTTACCTTTGAATTTAAATCACAATACAAGAGCCGACATAATGTCTCCATGAGACTATATCTAGGTGTATCTTATACCTTTAAACGAGCAATTCTTGTATATTAATATATCGGAAACGGCTCCAACGATTTTCATAAAATTTAGTATACAGGGCATTTCAGGGGCGATAAATCGATCTAGCTACGATTTATTTTCAGAAAATGTTGTTTTATTCGTATTTTCAATAATCAACTCTTCCCGACATCTATTGGCGAATAATAATACTATTTTTCTTAATTGAGGGCAACTAACCGCTATATAGACACAACAAGATGGCGTTATCAAAAAAAAACCGAGTAAAGCTCGGTCATCATCTAGTGCATTATTTATCCTTATCTAGAAAAACAATTTAACAAAGTTGGAAATGAAAGGTTATCTGTGAAGCGATAGAAATGTACTGGCAGGGTATTCTTAAAGCCTGTGGCACTATCATCCGACTTACTGCTTCTAAAGTTATTATGAATTCCAATTTGAAGGGTATAGACAATTGCCAATTGTCATTTCAGGTCTTTCATCATCAACGTTTTTGCTATGGTATATGATTTGGGCAAACAGTAAAAAGTGTGAACAAACCTTTCCGGAATCCACAACGAAACGAATACCGTCGATTGTGACAGAGGTTTCTGCTATATTCGTTGATATAATACATTTCCTGACGCCCTCTGGCGGATAATCGAAAACCTGTGCAAATTTTATCACGTATTTAGAAAACAAAGTCGTCGTGGCCTCTAGGATAAGACGCCTGGTATTGGACTCGTATTGAGCGATACGACTATGTCGGTGTTCGAATCCCGCAAGGCATCAATTTTTTTTATCAAATACGTACTTAACATATGTTCACGAATGACTTCCGTGATGAAGGAATAGCATCTTACTGTATTAAAAATGAAACTCACAAAAATTATAATTTGCATATCACTGATGGTAAGGCGTCTCATGAGCCTGCCCGGGTAGGTAACAAGAACCTGCCTATTTTTGAAGAACACAATCGAAGAACAAAATGGAGACCTGCATACGAATGTGAAGTCACACGTGCTCACGATAGGCTGCGATTAAGAAAACATTGACATGGTTAATAACATAAACCACGGTTGCACGTACCTTATCTTGTTCGGCAAGTGACAAACCGCTGTGTAATGGAAGGACGATCCAATTTTTCGTCTTTTCTGCATACTGTTGCGCCGCGTCACATATCGCTGTAATTTCTTGAACTCCAGACATAAATATTAGGAGATCACCTCGTTCATCCTCTAGAAAAGAGGAGAGTATTAAGCGGTAGGCAGCGGCTTGGCTCTGCTCCTGGCATTGCTGAAGTCCATGGGCGACGTTAACCTCTCACCATCAGGTAGGCCGTGTGCTCGTCTGTCAAAAAGGGCAAAAAAAAAAAAGATATCAAATAGATCTTTATATCTTTTATTATCATTGATGCATATCCAAAATTTTCACTTTATGTCTCAAAGCGGAAGGTGAAGGCTGTACTGGCCTCGGATAAGCTAGAGTGAGCACGTTTGTCCATAAAATTAATCTCATTTATTAGTACTCATTATTATAATTATTACATATGATTTTGTTTGTTTGAACATCGGTTAATCGGTCGCATATTGGTAAAATTATTGTTTGTACTTTTTGATACTGTACATTTATCGTTCGTTTAAGAGCTTTTAAGCACTGAGTGGTTTTTATACTTATAGTATACTTATAATAGTAGCGGCAGACCATAGCCCGGTTTCATTAGTTAAAATAATTTATAAGGCAAAGAGAATACTGCTTGTTGAATACAATTTTTTTTTATTGCTTAGATGTGTGGACGAGCTCACAGCCCACCTGGTGTTAAATGGTTACTAGAGCCCATAGACATCTACAACGTAAATGCGCCACACACCTTGAGATATAGTTCTAAGGTCTCAGTATAGTCACAACGGCTGCCCCACCCTTCAAACCGAAACGCATTACTGCTTCACGGCAGAAATAGGCAGAAAGAAATAGGCAAATACATGTTGTATTAATGAATTTTCTGTAGCAAACTATAGTCGACTGTAGTCACAGCTTACTTGGATATTTATTGTCGATCAACTGCATTATTTGCACATAAGGCTGAGGATCTAGTCTGTCATCTCTCGTCGGTCTTTCTTCCATAAATATTGGTTTGTAATTTAATTCAATTGTATAAAGTCGACCCGGTACCTTAAAATAAATAAGACTGTCATAAACAATGATGATTTCAAGAAGTCTTGCATATACATGTTTCCAACAAGCACTACTACATGAAAATACCACTACAAACTCAATTTCACAACTCTTTTAGAATTATCAAGGATCTAAAAAGATTTTTTCTCTCTACTGTACTACCCTTATATTCCACAGAGAATGCCCCAAACAGTGTTTTAGTCTATATTTCACATCGTAATTCATAATAACTATTTTTTATTTGTTTATCGAATTAAAAAAAGCTTACAGTGCACTTGAGTATTAGGTGTTTTGACTCAGCTTTTCATTGGACTTGTTGGTTAACTATTCACTGTCTCATGAAAAAACAGGCTAAGTACAATTCTATAGCCAGAGCAAACGGAAGCTCTCTTCTCCTGGTAGAATTACAGCAGAGGATCACAATCATTATATAAAATCAATCAAAAAATTACCTGTATAACAACAGCCGATTCACTTGCAAAATATTCTTCAAACAGTTTTATGTTTATTGTAGCAGACATCAACACTAATTTAATATTGGTTCTAGTATGTACCAAGCATTTTAAAATACCCAGTAGAAAGTCACCCATTAAATGCCTTTCATGAATCTCATCTAAGATAATGACATCATAGCTAGGTAAGGTTTCTGAAGACATNATTACCTGTATAACAACAGCCGATTCACTTGCAAAATATTCTTCAAACAGTTTTATGTTTATTGTAGCAGACATCAACACTAATTTAATATTGGTTCTAGTATGTACCAAGCATTTTAAAATACCCAGTAGAAAGTCACCCATTAAATGCCTTTCATGAATCTCATCTAAGATAATGACATCATAGCTAGGTAAGGTTTCTGAAGACATCTGTAATGAAATGTTTCCTTAAAAAAATTACATTATGGCCAATATTCTTACTCATATCTGAATCCCTTAATGTTTCACATGCCCAAATCCTAATGATAATATCATTTTAATTGTTTCCTTAATTTAATTTAATAAAGTGAATACAATATTAGCAAAATTAATTAAATTACCTGACCTGTCTTAGAAGTAAGCCTTCGGTGATGAAACATATTTTTGTATCAGAGGTTTTGCTCTTCTCAAAACGTATCTGATAGCCAACTTTACTTTCAAACTGGGTCAACATTTCATATGCAACTCGTTTTGAAAGGGACACACAGGCTATCCTTCTTGGCTGTGTACAGGCTTAAAATCACAAATTTAATACTCATTAAACTATTTCTCCTCACATTATAGAGCAAACGATTTAGGTTTTTAAAAAAATAATGTGTGTTAAATTCCTTTGAGCTTTGAACTTTTATTAGTGGAAGGACATGATGTAAGACCGCATTTATACATTACGTCCTTTCCAATTCAATATTTTGTTATAAAGTACTATTGATATTGAACATCAAAGTTTTCTCACAATCTTACCAATATTTTGAAAACCAGCTTCATGCAGGTACTGAGGCACCTGTGTAGACTTGCCACATCCTGTATCACCAGCAACTATGACTACCCTTTCATTCTGTACTGCTGACACAATTTCATGCCTGAAACAATTTTATAAAAGTATGTCATTTTCCTAGTCCCCTTATATTCAGTTACTTTCTTGCTGTACTTAAATAAGCTTTATACAAAGAAGCAACTACAAATGCTACAATTTACTATTATTATTATTATTATTATTTTTTTACTTAGATGGGTGGACAAGCTCACAGCCCACCTGATATTAAGTGGTTACTGGAGCCCATAGACATCTACAATATAAATGCGCCACCCACCTTGAAATATAAGTTCTAAGGTCTCAGTATAGTTACAACGGCTGCCCCACCCTTCAAACCGAAACGCATTACTGCTTCACGGCAGAAATAGGCGGGGCGGTGGCACCTACCCGTGCGGACTCACAAGAGGTCCTACCACCAGTAATTACGCAAATTATAATTTTGCGGGTTTGAGTTTAAATACACGATGTTATTCCTTTACCGTGGAAGTCAATCGTGAACAATTGTTAACTACGTATTTCATTAGAAAAATTGGTACCCGCCTGCGGGATTCAAACATCGGTGCATCGCTAGATACGAATGCACCGGACGTCTTATCCTGTAGGCCACGACGATGACAATATACTAATATTTATTTACCTATAATTAGCAACAGGTAACTCTTTTTGTGTTTGTCTCAGCTTTTTCAATTTCTCAAATTTTTCCTTATTCTTAAAATCTAAATAAATCGAAACTATCTCCAAAAATGCATCAAATATTTTTCTGTTTAATTTTTTACGACTTCCTGACTCGCATACTGTGTCTATAAATTTCATAGAAGAAGTAAAATTAATGCAATGAAATTTTGAGAATCTTTCACTGTTTGTATCTATAATATCTTTGCCACAGTTGGGTTCTAGCAAAGGTTTTCCTGACTTCTTTAAAGTGGCTTCATACTTCTTTAGAAATATCCAAAAATCACTCAAACTATTCACGACAGTATTGCTTTCGTTGCTGTAAAGCATTACTTTTTCTAAATCTCGTTTATAGTCCAAGAAACTAAATTCATTTAGAGGAGTTAGAGGACTTGGACTTCTTCTTCTTGGCCGATATCGTTCATGGTCAGGAGAAGGTGTTCTAATTCTTTTTGATGCATATTGTCTTTTTAAATTTGGAGATCTTCTCATATTGTTTGTTTTCAATACTTTTTCTTTTATAATTGGGCGTAACTTATCAAACAAACAAAAATTTGGTGTGTGGAAACAGAAACTTGTCAGTTATGGTCATTGCTGATAATTATATATGTTAAATGGTATGTTATTAAATTAATCGTTATCAATTAATAACAAACTTTGGATTTTTGTGACAGATCTGATTGCGGTACCTACGCATTGACAGCATCTTTTGTTGTCAGTGTCAAGAATAAGGGTGATACCAATATATTAGTATTCACTAAGATATTCGTAATACAGCTTGTATTCGTGTATCGGTAATCCGTCGAATTCTGATATGCTAATATTCCGTATTCACTTATTCATAATATTAACCAACTCACATCGGTCGGGTTGTATCTATCCACAGAACACTGTTACTTCTAGTGAAGTATCTATCACACGAAAATATACTGGCATACGCCGTACGTGTCTCGCGGATATCTGTCTATCACATTCATATCAATACTGCACGTGCTAAGAGTAAGTGAAATAATCTATATGTTTATATACTGAGGAATGAAAATAAGTACATTTCGCTTTGAGTTTAAGGACTATTTTGTATTGCATTTTTTACATGTCAAAAATGCTAGTGGGAATTTTCAAATGCACTACTTTTTTATGTTTGAACCTTCATTTCTTGATTCTACTAAAGATTCTACTCAAGACAAAATATTGCATTTTCACATTTATTGGAATAAAATCGGTGAGCTTTATTTTCATTATTTTAATTTTATTTTCTGTTTCCTTCGAATTAGTTGGATTTAAAACGATGATTTGAAAAACGAAAGTAGGTAGCTGACAATGTTTACCAATTTCATAAATCAAAATATTTTTAGACAAAATGTAATACTGCTACAACAAAATTAAGTGTTTTTACGTAATAAATTATGATGACAATATATTTTTGCGGTGGTACTTATTTATCTTCTAAGAACTTCTCAAATTTTATATAAAAGTTTGATTTTTTAATCGAAATAACTTTCTAACCAAACTGTTCATGGATTATAATATTATAACTGTTGTGTACCTACTAGCCACCTCAGTACCGTGTCAGAGAATTTTTTCGAAAATCCCAAGTCTTTCGGTAGAAAAAGTAAAAAAGCTGATGTTTTTATGCACCAATAAGAAATAAATAATATTAGTAACTTGTTGTTTATTATTAATGTACAATGTTGACCAAATTCTAATTTAATAATAATATTCATATTAATGTACATAATATTACTTGTAAAGTATTTAGTATGAAGTCAAATTCCTGGATACAATATACCATACCATATTTATATTAATTTAATAACTAATTTATGTGTATTATCTATGATTATTAACTTATTTCACGAATACCGTACTATGTTTAACTCGTTTACCCGTTTTATCGAAGTATGTTAAGATATCAGGATATATTCACGTATTAGTTAAGGTATTATAATATTACATCATGAATATACTCGTATCAGCTAATATTGACAAATATCGGTATTAACCCATCTTCAGTCAAGAACGTTTTTTTAAGGGATTTTATGACTTGGTAACTAGGACCTTTAAGTTATTGTCAAGAACGTAGGATCACCTCGGCATAGATTACTAACGTTAACTACCTACGCTCTTCGATCAACAATACAAGTAATTATTGTTCATCTTAGACTGCGCTAAATTTAGAAGGTTTTGTAATTTTTCAGCCTACTGTAGTCTATTGTTTACTCTGAACGTTTTTTTTTTCATTATTTAGTCGTTTTTATCAAACCGTTATAAAACTGAATCGTTTAATTTATTGAAAGCTTTTAAACAGTGACAGAAATGGAATGAAAAATGCTTCAGTAGTTTGAAGTTAATGTAAAAAAGTAGCGTGAAGGCATAAAGATCAGTAAAATATACATTGCATGTAACTGAGAACATTTCAATTTCAAAATGAATAAAAAACTTTTCATTTTGTCTAAAGCAACAGCTTAAATATCATTTATTGGAGATAATTTATTACGTACATTGAAAATCAAAGTTACCCGCTTCGAGGTATTGTTTTTGCAAAAAAAAACTAGGTAACTACTATTGACCAATCCAAAGTACTCTATGTAGTTGACTGCTATGCCCTCTGTCGGAAAAGTAAGCTCTTTACAATTTTCGACAATGTGTTCCGCCATTTTGCTTGATAGAGGAGTGAACGTAAAATAAATTCCATGTATTTTAACGTGGATAGAGACTATTTATAATAAAAATTAGTGTTCACACACACTAATGGCTTGCTTAAATACCCTTAAGTTAGAAATTAAAACATTAGAACAAGTGTTTCCAAAAAACCATGAACGTTTTCAGATAATGTCAGCTAGTGTCGACGAACTGACCTGCAGGTTCGTTGGCAAAAATGGAAAGAAATATGAAATACACGCAAACATAACTGTAAGTAATATCTAGGCACAATAATTTACTATTATTCTTAAAGGGGGATTTGTGATAAAGATAAGTTATTGATTACTTTTAGAAGTAGACAAAGGGTCGTTGTTTATGAGGGCAGGGCTGTCAACAAAAGGTTTACGGAAATGCAATGAACATTTCCTCATTTCAAACGAATATTTCTGCATGTGCAGTCACTTAACATTTTATCTAGCAGCGGCTATTTTTGTACAGGAAGTGAAAACGAATACTATTGTAATAACTACTCATATGATTGAATATTTCAATACATGNTTAGAAGTAGACAAAGGGTCGTTGTTTATGAGGGCAGGGCTGTCAACAAAAGGTTTACGGAAATGCAATGAACATTTCCTCATTTCAAACGAATATTTCTGCATGTGCAGTCACTTAACATTTTATCTAGCAGCGGCTATTTTTGTACAGGAAGTGAAAACGAATACTATTGTAATAACTACTCATATGATTGAATATTTCAATACATGTGAATCATGACTATTTCATACAGAAAAAGTTTTTTTGTTTATGTAACGGTATTCAGGATAGTTTTTGGGCCAAAGCCTGCTTAGTCACACCACCTGCTTTTTGTCATGTACACAATAAAAGTGTTAATTGCATCAGTTCTCAGCGATACTTTGTTAATGACAAGTTGAATGTGCTCTAAATGAAAACCAAACATAAATGACATTTCAAATCAATTGAAAGTTATATTCTATTAGACAATCGTTATCAGTAACAGTTGTTAAGTAAAGTACATATTTAATTAGTTTCCCCTTTTTTATTAAATTTGTGTAGATATTGTCTTATATTAATAAAATATTAACATTTGAACTGTGTTTAGATGTTAAAAACATTTTTAAGCATTGAAATAGTTTTGTAATAAAACCAAAAAAATTTACATATTAAAAATATCATTCATACAATCTTTATTAAAACAAATAAATGTAATGGTATATAAAACAGTGTTAATATTATTATCAAAACCGAAATAACTCTAATATTATTGAGAATAAGGTGATCTAATAATTTAATTTTTACAATTAGTATGGTTTGTCACTTTTGAGGAAGGCAAGAAATGAAGAAATGGTTTAAAAGTAAAAGTGATACCTGTACTATGTTATGTTGTTTTTGATCATGTGTTATTGATTACAATTTAGTTTGTGTATATAAAAATAGAACAAAGTCTTAATTTTGTAATAATTCAGGAAACATACCCCACCACACCACCAGTCTGGTTTGCAGAAAGTGAGGATCCAATTGTGACAAATGCTGTTCAGATACTCACTAACACTCAAGGACGAGACAATCATGTAATAAACCAGGTAATACAGTGTATATTATTAATAACTTTTCAGAATTTATTGATTACTTACGATAGGGCTTAATATAAGCCTGTCTAATTCTTGTCTAAACTTGTTTGATGTATTAAAATAAAATAGTCTATTCAACTATAGAATATATAGAATAGTTCAAATATAAAGTAGTCTAATCAACTTATAATCATAAGATTTGTCTTTATGTAGCAATAAATGAGAAAAATCTATTCAATATTTAATACTGGTATTCAAATACAGCTTTAAGCTACTGAGAGCATCTTTTGATTCTTTTGTACATTTATATTTTATCTTTATTTTGTATTATTAATTAATATTTTGTTACATATTTAGTATCTGGTGAAGGCTCCAAACCAAACAGTATTATCAAAAAAAAAACTATAAAATATTTATTGATGAGTCATTGATTAGAGGGTAGTATTAGTTTGTATACCTGGAGTAAAATTTCACTTCCAAACAATATTCAGACTATCCAAGTATAGAAAATAATGGTGTGAGTTAAAGGAATAGAAATGGTAATAGGTAATAATCTGGAAACTATGAAGCAAATAATTCACTTGATTAATTTTTGATTGATTTGGTTTAATGATTAAAATTCAACTGGTTTTCATTATCATAATAACCATTAACCATAATGCTCGCCAATTATGAGACCTAGGTATGTTTAGGACCTAGGACATCTTGATATAGTCAACTTAACAAGGAATTTACATAAAGCAACAGTAAATATTTTAATTTCTTACAGTTGGATGTATTTATTGTCTTAAATTATTTTACTGTTTATCTTTTAGGAATCTTATTAAAGTATCAAGAAAATATATAGACATATGGTAGTAACAAAAAAAAGAATACATAATATTATAAACAAATTTTCATCATTGGGTGTGTAATGGATTTGGTCAACCCCTTTTCAATTAGAATAATAGAAGTTCTATGTATTAGCTGGCGGGCTGGTTGACTAAATCAATATCTGTCAGAAAAAATACAATTATTTGTCGTTTTAGAACTTTGTAACAATAGACTTTCATCCTTACTTGGTAACTTGAAATTTTGTTTGAGTGACTTGTCACGCATTCTTATCTCCCTATTGGGGCCTGTGTCCATATTCACCACGCTCCTTGAAACAAGTAAATTAAAACTACAAAATGTTAACAAAGAATATTTCTCATTAACAAGTACTAGCGACTCGCCCTCGCTTCGCTTCAGAAACTGTAATTTATTATTGATTTCTCCACTATTTAATGGATGTTATTATACACATAAACCTTCCTCTTCAATCACTCTATCTATTAACAAAAACCGCATCAAAATCCGTTGCGTAGTTTTAAAGATTTAAGCATACATAGGGACAGACAGATATAGGGACAGAGAAAGCGACTTTGTTTTATACTATGTAGTGATATTGATAGTCACGTCGAAGGCATTGACCCTGGTTCCAAAGAATGTCAGATAAACTTATTATTACTAAAATGCTTTCTTCATTTCAGGTTGGGATATTGCTGCGAGAGCTATGCAAACTACATGGAGTACCAGAACCCCCAGACTTAGATTCATTATCCTTGCCAGTACATCCAGCGCCCCCTCAACACAGGTTACTAAAATTTATTAAAACCCAATAGTTACCTTTACCAAATGAAAACAGATGGTTTTATTAGGGATTTCTGAAAACAAAGCTATTCATCAATGTTGTTAATGTATACAATTGTGTAATTACTGGTGGTAGGACCTCTGGTGAGTCTGCACGAGCAGGTACCACCACCCTGCCTAGTTCTGCCGTGAAGCAGTAATGCATTTCGGTTTGAAGGGTGCGGGCAGGCGTTGTAACTGTAATGAGACTGTAACTATGTCTCAAGGTGGATGGCGGCATTTACATTGTAGATGTATATGTGCTCCGGTAACCACTTAACACTAGGTGGGCCGTGCGCTCGTCCACCAACCTAAGCAATAAAAAAAGGCCCAAAAAATCAGCTATTATGTAGAATTGATCTATAATAAATAATTGATTTTAAGAAAACGACTCCTAAAATCCTTACAATTAATTTCCATTACATGTTTTTAGCTTATGTTGTTTTTTATCATATATTAATAGTTTGTACACTTATGTAAATAAATAAATTATGCAGTTATCATTCTAATATCAAAACTTGTTTATCAATATGGTAGTATGGAAATATTTTTACAATAGGTACAGAAACTAATCTTTTATGTCTTTGATTGTTATTATAATTTCATTTTCTCCATTTCACATCTACATACTTCTGGAATTGTGCTGTACCTAAATTAATTTTTCTTCATTGAAACTATTTGCTAACTATGCTAGTTTTTGTTTTATATCTTGTGATATTAATTGTTGTGCAACATGTTTATCAATTAATTTAAAATTGAATTATATCAAAGTGTGTGTGCAGTGAGCCACTGCAAATCCTTTAGTGATAGATTTTTTCAATACTGCCATTTCGTGTTTAGTGTCAGTGTTTTGATCAAAACTTCATCTAATTGTCTAGAAGAGATAGCTTTTTTGTGATAACACTGCTGTTTGTGAAAAGACCTCTGTTTGTATCTATTGTTTATTCAATTGATTTTATACTTACTGTACTGCATGCTATTTACATTGATGTATAAATAAATATAGAACTTACATTTATTATTTAATTGTAACAAAATGTATAGTTAATTGATATTTAATTTATCATTATCAGAGTACCAAGTGTCACATCAAATGGTGCTGAATCTGGTACAGAGGAAGATGAGGAAATGGCAGCTGAGGAAGATGACTCTGAAGGAGAAGATGACTTGCCACTTGAGATGGTTGAAGATGCTGGCCGTAGCAACAAGGTAGGAATAGCAATAATATGATAAAAATGTAATTGATTCTTATATGTACATGTTCTTAAATATTTAAAATATAACTGTTGAATTAGTTGTCATATTTGTGAGGTGACACAGGGAAAATCATCTTTGACTTTTTTTGATGATTTTTATGGAGTTATTTATTACATACTGTACTGTAATATAACGTGTTGAATTGAACAATGTATTGGTGGTGACTGACTATATTACATTAATTATTAGACAAAAACACATGCGCCTAACTCATAGTGTTCATGGCCTAATGGAGAAAAACTAATGGATTTGTGCTATCCATAATGAGGTCCAATCGTAAAACTCAAGAAGTACTCATACAATGAATAAGGCTCCACCCTTTTCCAACAAAAAATAATAAACTTTTGAAGTTATACTTCTTTAGGCGCGTTATGAAAAATTGATGAGAGTGAAATTTTACGATGCGCGCGCACCGTGACACAAAATTAACAGAATTGAAGTTGCCCACTAAATCGCTCATTACAATACGATCGACGTAACTTGGCGAGTCTGAATATAGCCACAGGTGAACTTTCGCGCATGTACACTCGTAAAAAAAAGTGTTATTAGCATTCATTTTTTAGTAATATAAATGACAATATTATTATTTAATATAACTCACACTAAATATTATTAAATTATTAACGTTAAATATTTATTATTAATTATTTAATATTTAAAAAAATAAAATAAAAATAAAGTATAACTTCTTACGCGCGTACATAAGTACACGCACCCTTTTTTTTTAATAGCCTTACTAGGCCTCATGACAGATTTCGTGAAAGAGTTTCCGCTGTTTAATTTACTAATTTGAATTTTAATCAATGATCACATAATAATTTTTAGCTTGTTTAAAAAATGAATGAATTAAATGAAAAAGAATAAATAAATTTTGATATATATTTGTTACTATATAGGAATTAAACTATGATTTTAAACTTTCTTTTTGAATTATGTATTCATCAGTTGGACTTCTCATCTCTACTTCACTCATATTAATCATAGTTGAGTTGTTTGAATTTCTTGTATCATGTTAGATAATGAAAATCAATTTAAATTACAGGATGACATGGAAACTGAACATTTAGCGACACTAGAGCGACTGAGACAGAACCAAAGGCAGGACTATCTATCCGGCAGTGTGTCTGGCAGTCTCCAAGCCACGGACAGACTCATGAAGGAGCTCCGGGACATATACCGTTCACACTCTTTCAAGAATAATATGTATTCCATTGGTTAGTATTCACCACATTTATTGACTTTTTAAAGCTTAGCATACCTAAGGAAGTTAATCCTTAGGTATGCATTTTAGATATATTACTTATATTTACTTACCAGTCACATAGGGTAGACCAACTCACGGTAACTGATGTCAACTGGGCGGTGGCATGTATGCTCTAAATGTCTATGGATTCCACTAACCACTTAATGCCTGGTGGTGCCTTAAGATGGTGGAAGTTTTAACCTATTGGTGGAACAGTTGTTACCATTCAAACCAGTATTTCGATACATGACTGATTCATGGTAGAAATAATTATTTCGTTCATTTCATAGCCAGAGATATACTATCATTAGTTATTGAATACAGGCCTTGAAATCAGTCTTAGAAGTTAGTATAATGTGCAGTGATAATGGACAAATTATATTGTTTTTTTTATTTGTTTCTCTATGGTTCTAACATTACTAGTGATATTCTTTGTAATAACAGCAAAACATAAAATAGAGAGCACTAGATGATACTAATGACGAAGAATGAATGATCCAATTAAAACAGTAGATTATATTATACCAAGAATAATATTTTAAATAGATAGTGCAGCGAAAAAAAGTGTGTAAGGACAACGTTTTTTATACTCAAAAAGTAATAGTATACTAAATACTTGTAGGTATAAAGTGTTCACGTTACGTCGGTTCGTGAACCTTTGCGAGCGTCCCTACCGTCTCGTAGAAGACCAGTGACGCCGCGCGTCATTTTGTTTTGACGCGTTTGATGTAAAGACGTTGCGTGCGGTGCGTAGTAATAAATCATGAACTGGGTGCTTAGTGCGAGTTTTTTAACGTTCTCGATAACGTAAAAGTTAACTCGAAATTTGTATGATGTTGGAGCGATTGCCTGCGTTTGCCGCTAGAGGCGCTGTTCCGACTGCATACAAATTTGAGTTTTATTTTTACGCGATCGAAAACGTTAAAAAACTCTCACTAAGTGTCCCACTGCTGTACCACTCTCACCTGCGTTGTTCAGGAGCCACGCCATTATAGGCAGCGGCTTGGCTCTGCCCCTGGCATTGCTGAAGTCCATGGGCGACGGTAACCACTCACCATCAGGTGGGCCGTATGCTCGTCTGCCTACAAGGGCAATAAAAAAAAAATACTGCTATTACTGTTCACTTATTGTGGGTCTGTACGAATAGATACTGCCCAAATTATATATACGTCTTTCTGTCGCACAGCAGTAAAAATTCCGTTTGAAGGTTATGACAACCATACGATTTAGATATCGAATTCACATATTTTGGCTCAAGTGACTACTTAATACCAGTTGAGCTGTGAAACTCTTCTAATTTATCAAAACTAATAAATGTTTCCTTTCAAATAAAATTAATATATTTTAACAGAATTAGTAAACGACTCACTATATGAATGGAACATCAGACTGCGCTCTGTGGATCCTGACAGTCCACTACACAACGACCTCCTCCTGCTGAAAGAAAAGGAGGGAAAAGACTCTATTCTTCTCAACATTATATTCAAGGAAACTTATCCATTCGAGCCGCCTTTTGTGCGTGTTGTTTATCCTATAATCTCAGGTATGTTCTCTATAAAGATAAAATGTGAAAAAAAGTTAACTGCCTACAGGTAAAAAATAATAAATTAACATTATTATATTAAATAAAAGTATATATAATATTTTGTATCTTGTAATATGTATATATTATTTATTATATGTAATGTTTACTGTATGCACTAGGTTTGTGTTTCTTATTCTTCTTTCCTTTTGCGGGCCTACTGGAAGAGATTTCAACACAAAATAAGTAGTGCCCTTTTACTCTGTATCCTTATTGTCGTCTTTCTTCTAACAGCTGTGTGTAAAAAATAAAATAAAAATAACTTAACATTATTATACATCATAGTTATTTTTTTGTATACTTAAATAAATATTAGTGTACATATTTTATATTTTATTTATATAAAATACAAAATATTTTATTTATATAAAATACATTCTATTGACTTCTAATGAATTTATACATCATAGTTATTTTTTTGTATATTTAAATAAATATTAGTGTACATATTTTATATTTTATTTATATAAAATACATTCTATTGACTTCTAATGAATGCTTATTAGAACCAACTAACTCAATCCCAAGAGCTCTGATCTAAGTGAAATCTAGTTTATTTATTTTTATTTATAGTGTTCTGTTGTTTCCTTTTAACAAAACCTTAATTTCTAACTTTCAGGAGGCTATGTATTAGTCGGAGGTGCGATATGTATGGAGCTATTAACGAAGCAAGGCTGGTCATCCGCGTACACTGTGGAAGCGGTGATCATGCAGATAGCCGCCACCCTGGTGAAGGGCAAGGCTCGGATCCAGTTCAGTGCCACCAAAGTTGTTTCACAGACTCAGTACAGTCTGGCCCGTGCACAGCAGAGCTTCAAATGTCTTGTTCAGATACATGAGAAAAATGGTGAGCAGTTTATTATGTATCTATGTAAAAATGACTTTAACCAAAACTTATCTTTTACTTTTTGTTTTTTTTTTAAACTGGCTATTGAATATCATTAAGACTGGTGTTGAGCTGTGTGCTGTCTAATATATTTAGATTGCATTGTATTTGATCTATCACAGTGCACTACCATCTATCTATCATGTTATATCTTGTAGTGGATATGAAGAAGTCATGTGGTTTGTGATATAACAAATCCTCAATCCAACCCAAAAATAATTGAAGGTTGCTAATTAGCATTCACCTTAGGATACTGATAACTATACTGCATCAAATAAGCTGTGATGATGTATTGTGGTCAGAGTGTAATAATGATAGATGGGATAATAAAAAGACACTTAATTAGTTTATTAATAAATTTAATGAGTACGTTCATATGATATTATTTTGAATTACATTCTTGAAAAGCTTTTTTAAATCCAAATAATTGTTGACTATAGTTAGTTACAAATACAATGAACAAATTAATAAAAACAACATTTAATGTATTTTTTTATTGAAGAAATGTCTGAATACGAACTAAACATGATTAGTACATATTTTTAACATAAACTCTGTTGTGTAAAAATATATGAATGTTTAATATATTCTGTTTTCCAACAACATAATTACTATCGTAAATACGTACATTATAACAAACTAGCTGTACCCGTCCGCTTCGCTGGGTAAAATTAACATTATTATTTCTCACCCCCACAAAGATTCTGATCATTAACGCCCCCGCAACTGGTGTAGGGAGTCCAACACTCATATAAATATTAGCCTATCCTTTAAGTATATGTATTTTCTACATGGATACCAAGTTTCAAGTCAATCGGATGCACGGTTCAGTAGTTATAACGGAACATCCGTAAATACCACTGTAGATTTATATATTAGTACTGGCGACCCGCCCTCGCTTCGCTTCGGAAATATTAAATTTTATTATTGATAGTTGAGTCCCGCGATGTTACCCGCGGTTATTGTAGTACAGCGGGCGACGCCGCGGGGCCAAGCTATTCTAAAAATGTTTAAGTTACTCCTTATATCATCAGCTACCTATTACTGAAAGTCTCGTCAAAATCGGTCCAGCCGTTCCAGAGATTAGCCGGAACAAACAAACAGACAGACAAAAATTGTAAAAAATGTTATTTTAGTGTATGTACCGTATATATATTCATATGCATGTAGTAAAAAGCGGTTATTTCACTATTACAAACAGACACTCCAATTTTATTTATATGTATAGATAGACGAAGCCCCTATTCATGTAAGAGTTGTAATCGTTTCATACTAATATTTATCTAATTTTCAGGCTGGTTCACACCTCCGAAAGAGGATGGGTAATTGGAACTGCGGAGCGCTGTGTAACGATTTGTTACGCCCAACGTAACTACCATGTTAATATGAGTGATAGCTGACTGCGCGTCAACATTTCCATAACGTTTGTCTGTCTGTATGCGCGACTCGTTTTTATGTATGTGCTGAATATGAATGGACGTTTTGCGAGTATTGTACGTGTATTATTGTAAGTGGTAATGTTCTGAATCAAGTGCGGGGCGTTAACGAAAGACTATACAAGACTTATAGGAAGAAAAATTAAAGTTTACTGTGTAACGTTTTTTGTAATCATTAATTTCTCATTGAACGTTAACCGTATGGTAGCCCTAGAAGTTACTGGAGTGTAAAGTTGATAAGATCTTTGCATTTCTTTAGTTATTATTGAAATAAATGAAAAAAAACCTGTGATTCTTTATATTTGTTTTGTTTTTGTATGATTGAAACCTTATTGATAAATAGACTTATGAGCGAAACGAAATAAATACATTATTTTTCCATAAACGGAAATCGGATGTTTTAGTTCCGCGATGTAAAGCGAACAAAACTGGGGTCAACAAACTTAAATTTTATGAGCTGTACATCGCGGAACTGAAATATCCCTTTGCTTGCTAAGGTAATTTTTTTTGTTTTATTTTTGTTATTGCTTACATGGTTGGACGAGCTCACAGCCCACCCGGTGTTAAGTGGTTGCTGGAGCCCATAAACATTAACGTAAATACGCCACCAATCTTGAGATTTAAGTTCTAAAGTCTCAGTATAGTTACAACGGCTGCCCTACCCTTCATACCGTAACGCATTACTGCTTCGCGGCAGAAATAGGCGGGGCGGTTGTCCCTACCCGTGCGGACTCACAAGAGGTCCTATCACCAGTAATTACGCAAATTATAGTTTTGCGGGTTTGATTTTTATTGCACGATGTTATTCCTTCACCGTGGAAGTTAATCGTGAACATTTGTTAAGTACGTATTTCATTAGAAAAATTGGTACCTGCCTGCGGGATTTGAACACCGGTGCATCGCTCGATACGAATGCACCGGACGTCTTATCCTTTAGGCCACGACGGTTTATTTGGTGGTAAGCCGTCGTGTGAGCCCGCTCGAGTAGGTACTACCACTCTGCTTGTTTCTGCCGTGAAGCAGTAATGCGTTTCGGTTTTTAAGGGAGGGGCAGCTATTGTACTGGAAAAACAGACTTGAAACTCTTCTCTCAAGGTTGGTTTCGGCATTTACGTTGTTGATGTTTATGGGCTTCGGTAATCAATGAATACCAGGTGGCAGGGCCGTGACTTATAAGCAATAAAAAAAACGTGATTCTAAAGGAAAACGTGAAAATTTAATTTTCTTAAAAATAATAAAATAGCCAAAGCTTAAAGTAGTTTTAAATAGTAAAGTAAAAGACTTTACCTAAAGTTTTGATTGCTGATTGTGTTTAGTATTGTCCATTAAGGCTATCAAACCGGCCACATGTAGCTCGCTTCCGGGAGTGTTGATCTTTCTACAATATTCTTTATCGTTCATTCTGTTTATCCATTTGCTAAGTTTTGGATATCTAAAAAAATTATGTTTGCGAAATCAAATTTTGACACGAAAATAAGATTCACGGATATTTCCTAACTTGATTCTATTCTTGAATTATATATTTGACAAAATAATATGTAAAGGTCAACGGTAATGCGCGCGCTCTCTGTAATCTATGACTTCCGCCATTTTGGAGGGATTATGGATTCTTTTCTGTTTTTATTTTTGCACATAATAAGGTATAGTTTGCAGATGCTTGCTTGATAAATAATTGAAAAAGAACCGGTTCACATTTAACGCGTTTTTCGCCACGGACTATCCTCTTTTCGAACAGACTCCCTTCACAGTGTCCCCAAGCGTTGTGACCTGTCCCTCTTCAAACGAGATTTGAGGTGAATTCTCAGCAGTAAGTCGTTACGGCATTTTGCCCCTAGAATTGTTCCATGAGCATCGGTGTCTACTTACCATAAGGAGGACTGTATATTCATCTGCCTATCATGGCAATAAAGACGGGGCCATAGTCCTATTGGAATTCCCGTCGCTTTCTTAGAATCTGTTGCATTGAAATAGTGTCTAATTCAGAGCAGATACGGAACCTTTATAGGGACGATTGATAGCCAAAGTGCGGGGACTCGCAAGATGTCCTACCAAGGGTCTCAACATAGGAATTAGCGTTAAGTAGGAAAATAAACAAGGAAGGTATCACTAGTACGGGACAGATCGAGAATTTGTAACTCTATGAAGCCGGGTTTGTATATTCTTAACAGGCAGACAAGATGAGCCTTATGGCTTACCAGATGATCTGTAGTAAACTAGTGCCCTATATACCAATCGAACTATCGTCCATTTTGTCCGTACGGCAAAACTTTAGAATTTAATGCACAGACGATTTACTTATCACCATCGTGCATTTTTCTGCGGTGAAGCAGTCATTCGTTCCGGTTTGGGGTAGCCAACAGTTGCAACCGTTACTGGTGTCATTCACATCCAACACCAGGTAGGTCGTCAGCTCAACTGCCGAACTAGAGCCAAAAAGATATACTCTATTGTGTATTGTTCCATGGGGAGCGCTCTGAGGAATTATTCGAGATGATATCAACGTCTCGTTTTTACCATCGCACCGCCCGCCACCGGAGTAGAGTTCATCCATACTACCTGGAGCCACTGCGGTCATCCACAGTGCGTTTCCAGAGATCTTTTTTGCCACGTACCATCCGGCTTTGGAATGAACTCGCCTCCACGGTGTTTTCCGAGCGCTATGACATGTCCTTCTTCAAACGAGGCTTGTGGAGAGTATTAAGCGGTAGGCAGCGGCTTAGCTCTGCCCCTGGCATTACTGACGTCCATGAGCGACGGTGATCACCTACCTTCAGGTGGGCCGTATGCTAGTCTGCCTGCAAGGGCAATAAAAAAAAAGTAAAATTTAAACCTTTTCTCATCTACCGGGTACAAGCCGTTCAAAGACGAAATAGTCGTTATTGCGCTTATGTCCGCTACAGTGACAACTTCATCAGCTAGATACAAATTCTCTGTTAGATAGGATTCCATTATTGAATAAGCATCCTCGATGTTCTTGATCATGTTTCGATTCAATTCCGCTAATTTTCCTGCGTACGTTGGTGCCTGAAAATATGACAGAGCTATGTACCTACGACAAACAACTTTCAATTTAATAATGCTTATTATTGGGGGTGAATGAAAAGGCCACTGCCACATCTATAGGTATAAAGATTTCAACCTATAAAGAGGAAGTCGAAAAAGAAATGGAATAATGAAATATTTTTGCCAAAAATAAGGATGAGGAACATTTAAATGTAAAACGGGCTTTATAAAAACTGATTGAGGACATAAATAAAAGACGCTATATAGTTAATTATGTTTCATTAAAGAGACCCTATATGAAAGATCTTTAGTATCATACTAATAGAAATGAAAATAAGATTTTTAATATTCTTGTTGAGCGCGGCTTACCATAACGGCCCTCAATCTAGGGAATAGCACTCCGCAGTCAAAGAAAAGTCGTTGATTTATTGTAGCTCGTTTCCTTTTCTCGCTCGGATAGAGATGAGCGTGTTCCGGTTTACCGTATTTATCGATCAAGTACAACATAATGGCGTGACTGAAATGGGTGCAAAATTGACGGACAATTAAAAAAACTGGAAAATTAACAAATTAATTAGTGTTCCACATAATGGACATAAGGTTTTTATCATGCCGGAAACAAGAAGGATAAGAACACGAACACCCAGTCTCTAAATATCGGAAATAAAATCCGGACACCGCAAAAGATAACCACGAGACTAATGAGTTTATTGAAAAGACTAAAAATAACTACGAGTATGGTTTATAAATTGTTTTGTAATTGTTATCAAATGACATACTTAATCACCGTTGCGCGAACACTTAGTGTCTGATGTATTGGTAGACCTTTACAAATATTTATGACCACTGTACAAATCACTTTGCCTAACAACTCACCTATCCGCGAGGTAGAAATCTCCTTCCTCTAATATAGGAATAGTTCTCATTGGATTTTTCTGGAAACAGTATGTATGTAAATTAATTATTTTGGTATTATAATCTATTAGAGACTCTGGAGTACAAAATAAAAACTTTATTAAAAAACAGTTAATATATTGTTTACAAAAAAAAATCTGCACTTACTTTTTTAAATTCCGGTGTGTCTTGTTGGCGTAATATTGGATTCAGTTCCTGCTCGTCAACTTTTAGTCCCAATATATCAACAATCATCATCACAGCCCTAGCAGGCGGACTGGCGTCAGTCTTGTATAATATCGGAGTCATTTTATCAATTTATATTTCAAATTTTGTGTTTATCCTGTTTTATTAGCCTACGTGTATTATTTTCTAAATTAGAATTCCTAAAACATTAGGTAAAATGATTTATAAAATATGAAATAAAAGTGGAAGTATTTAAAATAAATGATTTTAATAATAATAGCGACTTAGTTTCATAAATATGTAACGATGCTTAGACGGGTGACAAGCTTGTTCTCATATTAACACAATATTTACATAAAATACAATTATAATGTTAAGTAATTCGTTTTAGGTTAAACTTGATATATTCACCTTGACCGCTTGCTTCTTCAAACTAAAGTCCAAAGTACCATTCGAGGTCTATGTCCAAGATAAGATATTAATTAAACGATTTTCTCATAGATGTCGCTTTACTCAATTTATGTTTAAGAGCCAAATCGAGACCAAATGAGGACCTTTATTAATTTCCAGTGAGGACGATGTTGTTTTTTTTATTACAGGTATAGTAACCGGCAAACTTCTTGAGCAAATGACCTTGACTGCGCAGAACCGAATTTTAGATCACTTTGGTGGTGAGGGTGAGGCGCGACGGCAGGGGAAATCGTATCGAGCGCGTTATTGGTAGATCAGTCGAACCTTGCGCCCCGCACCGCGCCCTCGTTCCGCTTGCTCCCAAAAGTACGCTTGCGTACAGTAAAAGTCTATCGTTATTATGTAATCGTTAAGTTATTTGTTATAATTGCTTGTTGACTTTGTTGCCATTGCTATATGTTGAGTGTTTGTTGATTTTTTTTAAAAAATACACTATGCCGCGACAAACTGGTGTAGTATTCAAAAGAAAGGGTAGAAAATTTGTGTACGACGTATATTGCTTCATTATAAAACAGGGGTAGAATGATATGGAAAAAGTAAAACAGACTTCGGAAGCAAGAAAAACATCAGTGAGTACTGTTAGGTGCATTATTAACGAAGCTAAAGGCTCTGGCTTGCTCGCCGTGTTTCGGACTCCGGGTAAGAAAAGATCAGGGAAGAAGAAAGTTACCGGAATGGATAGTTTCATTCAATCTGTAATAAAAAGATGTAATCATAATAACTACATAACAAGCAGCGAAACTCCGTACCGTAGGAAGGTTTCGAAAAATTTAAAGAAGATATAAATTTTAATGGCTCGGAATGAAGCTTACGACGAATTATGAAAGAGCTAGGCTTCAGATGGAAAAAAAACAGAAAGTAATCGGAAGCTGGTAATTGAAAAAAGTAACATTCGATTACTATGAATCGAATATCTTCAAAAAATAATTAATTATAGACAAAAAAGAAGACCGAACCGACCGAGTTGTAAACTACACCGATGAGCCCTATGTCGACTCATCACGATGATAGCGACTCGGGTGATGAAAACAGTGATGATGATGATGGTCAAGATTATGATAACGAAAAACAAATTACAAATACCAGCTTCGCTTCAACTGAACGAAGACCTGGCAACAGCTCTAGTTTTGACTTAATAGAAGGAATATCTATTTTACCCCAAGATTAAATTATTACAATTATTAACCTATATTTTTTGTTGATTTTCTAATAAATATATAAATAAATACATAATATGTTGATTTTAATAATTTAATAGCATTATGACGCAGAGTACATAATGTTTTTGCACGTGAGTGTACCATGCGCGAACTTACCCCCACTACGTCGACAAATGCTCAAGAAGTTTGCCGGCTATTATACCTACATAACTTGAGTTTGATCCAAGTAAATGGGAACATTGTGTTATTATTATGTTTTCTTCTTAGTTATTGTGTCTGAATAATTTACTTGGGTGTGATGTTTGTTAAAATACTTACTACTTTTTTGCACTTATTTGCTATTTCGCTATTCGACATAGGTAATTATTTTATGTAAGCAGCAGATGTGTAAATTTGTTATGAATTTTTGTATTCAAGATAAGCTCACGATAATATTCTCATTCGGGTAAGATGAAAATGTAAGATGTAAGAGGCGAGTGTAATTTTATTAGGCTTCAAGGTCTTTCAGTTCAGGTTTCATTGAAAAACCATTTGTCCCTACATTTGCTGTTATGAGAAAGCTATATGAACCTACAAAAAACTTACGAATGTCAAATGTCTACGGAAGTATTTAGGTACTACCAGCTACCAATAGCAACAAAGACTTGAGAACCATTTTGCTACTATGTTTATTTTTTTTGTTTATTGACGCGTTATTAATACAAAAAAAATTAAATGGTTTTTATTCCTTTTTTCAAAATGTCAATACTACTTAAAAAAGAGAAAATTCATGTATATAAATAAAATAAATTTTCAGGCCAATGATTATTATAGAATTTCGATGATTAGTAAGCATTAATTTATGTATTTACGAATATATACCTATATATATGTTTTTTTTGGTCAGGAGGAAATCGCCGGCCTTCCGCCCTCCCCTGGATGGAGGGCGGGGCATGTCGGAGTCGAACTGACTAAAACCTCCTGTCGCTCAACAACTGACGTCCGGACCTCTCATGAGACAGAACTCATGAAAAGGCAAAGGGGGGAAAGTGAAGCGCTTATTGTGGAGCACATCTCTCACATCACTCTCCCCCTCGCTGCCCCGGGACGCTGGACCGGCGGTCGTCGGCGCCCTTTCGGTCGGCAGGCTATCCGAAGCCCGCCTAGATGGCTCCGGTACGAATGGGTTATCCTACGGAATACCCCGCTGGGTCAGAACCAGCGTGGGTCGAGGATAGCCGGCCTTCCATAAAATCCCTAAAACGCGTGCAGAGCAGCTTGCACGTCGTCTTCTTAGACCACCTTCGTCGATCTCAAGACCGACATGTCAGGAGAACCCGAAACACTTAGAGGGCCTCAGGGCTTGGGCGAGATCCACCTCGCTGGCTCCCGCTCGATGGCGGCGGGTTCTGCACTCGCAGAAGTCGAGCATCGCCTTCCACTAGTCGTCGCCGAGCATCGATGCCACAACACTCACACACAACAACAAGTCGTTTCCTATTTTTTCGACGAGGTCACGGCGCCACCCCTCCCATGCGGGGCAGGCAACGAGCGTGTGCTCCGCCGTGTCCAAGTCGCAACCACAATGGTGGTATTCTGCCGTCGGCTCGGCTCCGATCCGGTGCAGGAACTCACCGAAACAACCATGCCCAATGAGCACCTGCATGAGCCAGAAAGTGAGGCGTCCTCTGTCACGATTCACCCAATCCACAAGGACCGGGCGAATCGCCTCGAACGTATTTACGAATTAGGCAATAGTAACAGTACACCTGAAGAAGCAGTGTAATATAATAGTAATAAATGGAAATCTAATAGGTAATTTGTAGGTACCTAATTAAAACTTTTTGCAACAGTTATTACATTCCTTAATTACGTTGAGGGTGGCTTAGGCAGGGGTTATAATGAAAGTTTTTTTACCTCATTACGTATTCTCGCTGGACGACAGCAAACAGCTCCCACTTAATACAAGTTAATGCTATGCTTCTTGTTTTGTTTTTTTCCGCGAAAAATATTCATTGTGAAAGTTAATGAAAAGCGACTTACTATTTTATTTTATATAGTACTAGCTGTACCCGTCCGCTTCGCTGGGCATTTAAAATTAACATTATTATTTCACACCCTCACAAAGATTCTCATCATTAACGCCCCCGCAACTGGTGTAGGAAGTCCAACACTCATATAAATATTAGCCTATCCATTGTGCATGTATTTTCTACATGAATGGCAAGTTTCAATTCAATCGGATGCATGGTTCGGTAGCTATAACGGAACATCCGTAAAAACCACTGTAGATTTATATATTAGTACTAGCTGACCCGGCAAACGTTGTGTTGCCTTAAATAAGATTTCTAGGGAAATTATACTGTAGAAAAAAAAGCCTCATTTAACCACATAATACCTCATTATAAACAAAAAAAATATATCCAAAAAATTAAAATAAAAAATAAATGTTTGGGGTGGACAACCCTTTTCACTTAGGGGTATGAAAAATAGATAGTAGTCGATTCTCAGACCTACTGAACATACTATTGATACACAAATAAAACCAACAAAACATGGCTGAAACATGTATAGTATTGTATAGCTCTCAAATATATTAAGTGTATAATCTATGATGTATAGTGAGTACGTAAGACAGGAGACCGGCTTCGTCCCCATCCCTACTACGTGATGTTTGCTGGATCAGTGGTGACATCTGGCGGGGATAGCTGATCGATTGATAGTTGATCAGTAGTCGACCGGCGAGCGCGGAAGATCAAATTCAATTTAAAAAAAATCATAATTAAAGGAACTTGAAATTATAAACTCTGAATAAGAATTTATCGTACTACAAATATAATATTTGATTGCCATCTTGCAACCTTCTTGCGGATGGAAAAATAGGGGTTGATCGTATAAGAGTGAAAATTGAGAGTAATATGATTTTTTTTATTTTAAGTCATGATAAAACTAAATAAAAAACTTGCCAAAAAAATTTAAGTTTATAATTAACAAAAAATAGGGGTTGATCATAGAGGGATGAAAAATTGAGAGTAACATCAGATTTTTTATTTTAATTCATGACAAAATAAAAATAAAAATGAAAATCTTGCAAAAAAAATGAAAGTTTATAATAAACAAATAAAAAATAGGGGTTGATCGTAGAGGGGTGAAAATTTCAGAGTAATATGATTTTTTTTATTCTACGTCATGACAAAATAAAAACAAAATTCTCGCAAAAAATTTTAAAGTTTTTTATTAGCAAATAAAAAATAAGGGTTGATCGTAGAGGGGTACAAATTTAGGGTTGTATGTATTTTTGTATGCTGTATCATAAAAAAATAAAATACAAAATTTTTGTCTAAAAATTAAAAAAAAAAATTTAGGGGTGGACTACCCCTAACATTTAGGGGGATGAAAAATAAATGTTGGCCGATTCTCATAGATACCGGATAAGCACAAAAAATTTCATCAAAATCGGTCAAGCCGTTTCGGAGGAGTATGGCAACGAAAACTGTGACACGAGAATTTTATATATTAGATAGATTTTATATGTTAAGTTCTTTAAAAGGTATTAATAATTAAAGAGATAATCGTTCTTACCAATTCCGATTAAAGTTTAAACTATAATTGCTTAATCTTCGTTCCCAATTCTGATTAAAGTTTATAATTGCTTATATTTCGCTGCACAAATTCGGATAAACTTTTAGATTACGAGTTAGACACAATATAGATATAATGGTCTATGCTTGTGGACTGTATTGGTAGATATTCTATGATTGCGGTCATGACATCCTCAGATCTTGACCCAATTAGTAAAGATTTTGAAATAGTCAACATGAATTTTGAAGATTTGAAATGTTTTTAAGACAATAGTCAAATAAAAAAAATATGATGTTAAAAAATCATTACTATGTATTGATGTAGTTACTGGCTAAGCCATAAATATCAATATCCAAAAATATTTCGAATGAAATTAGTATGAGTTTAATAGATTCATAAGTCATGTTACATGTTCATGTGTGTTATAAATTAAGCATAGTGATTGTTTATACTTTTTCCCCCCGTAGCGGCACGTTTTCTACAAAGTTCCTTAACATGAATATGACATGCAAATAATCATTTTTTTTTTAGAATTTAGTTTTCAAGTTATTGATGATGGTTGTTCGATAAGCTTACGTTCTACAAGATGTTCCATGATCACCGTCTATAGTGAATATCAGTAAAGCAAGGGCTACACATTCGATCCCATTATACTACCGATAATCTGTTCATACAAACAACCTTATTAATATGGCACGTTAGTAAAAAGATACGACACGGATTCGGCATAATGAGTACGCCTTATGGCTTCCGCGAGCATCACAGAAATGTCTATTGTTTGTAACTTCGGACACAATTTCATATTTTTTTCTTGCGGTATGGTGTTTGTCACCACGATTGCTTCCAAGGACGAATTGTTAATTTTTTCGATAGCGTTCCCGGCAAATATTCCGTGGGTTAAGAACGCGTAAATCTTATTGGCGCCGGCTTCGCGGAGCGCTTCAGCACCTTTGAGTATTGTGTCACATGTATCAGCTAAATCGTCAACCATGATTGCAGTTTTATTCTTCACATCCCCAACAAGAACCGTAGAATCTCCTTCGTTAGCCCTTTGCCTTTCTTTGTGGATAATGGCGAAATCGATATCAAGACGATCAGCGATTCCGGTCATCCTCTTCACCCCGCCTGCGTCTGGAGACACCATGACGCTGCTTTTCCATTCTGGGATATTTTCTTTGATCCACTTGGTAATAGCTGGTTCAGCATAAAGATTGTCGACGGGAATATTGAAGAAGCCCTGGATCTGTGACGCGTGTAGGTCAATTGTGATGACGTGATCAGCTCCGGCTACAGAAATCAGATTAGCAAGTAGCTTGGCCGTAATCGGCGCCCGGCTTTTCTCTTTCTTGTCCTGTCTCGAGTACGGGAAGCAGGGCACAACCGCCGTTACTCTCGATGCTGATGCAATTTTGCACGCGTTTATCATTATGAAAAGTTCCATCAAGTTATCGTTTATTTCCCCACAGCCGCTTTGAACAATGTAGACATCCTCACCTCTAACGGATTCGCCGATTTCAACGTTGGTTTCTTTGTTACTGAACTTCTTAGTGGTGGCCCTGCCCAAGTTTAGACCTAGCCTTGCGACGATAGTTTTCGCGATGTCTGGATGAGAGCTTCCAGTAAACACTTTTATGTTCGGCATTCTGGCACTTGGGTTGTTGAAGTGTTTTTCTTCTTTATTGATTTCTTTCACTTGTTTTTCTTCAAATTGCATTTATATAGTGTACGACGAAGCGGTCACTTCGTTGGTCAGATCTCAATTAAGAGTTAAATTACGTTATATTCTTATAATAACAATAAATTATCTAGGTTCGCGGAGGGGTCACTTAGTTACGTATCCCCTGCAATGGAAGTGTACTGTTACTTATCTCTGTTTGTTGAAGTAAATAATAGTGTTTTGTTTAAAGTCAACATATTGTCTTGATAGAGACTTACTTCTTAACGTAAAGAAGTTTATCTTTAAACTTAATAAACATAACTTACACGAACTTTACAAAATAATAACCTAATACCGACGGCCATTTACAAATGTTACGATTGCCACGGTTACAAATAACGAAACCATGACAACAACATTTTTTTGAAAATTCTTTTTTACTAATTGATTTATAATTATCAAAATACCTATATTAAGCTAAACCAACTAACAAATACCTACACAACTACTTGGCGGTTTAATGTAGTATTTTGTTTGCTTCAAAATTATTTCGAAGAAGTTTTAATGTCTTAGTACAGTTAAGTTCCTTCATTACAAGTAACCGCAGGCTATGCTGAATTCTACTAGCGTTATGCACAGTACACAATTATATGGGTTTGACATTTGGTCTAATGTATCTAAAATCATTGTATTGCCCCCGGCAAGCGGAATCCACTGGCACCAGAACGTAAATGCTAATCCATCTTGCCATCTTGCCCATCTTGAGATTTGAGGTATCGCTTCAGAGTTCCATAACATAGCTTATAAGCTATAGTTATCCATTATATAACTGTACGGAAAATAATTTTAATTGAAATTAATGTCATTTTACTTGCGTTTTGTATGCACCATTTTATTGTGGCGAAATCATGAACTTTTAAAAACTTTCACGATGTGTATCGTAACAATATTTTGAAAAGTAGACAATTTGCTGTTATTTTCTAATTAATTGAAAGATGATAACTACTTAGATCGAAGGATCAGAGACTCTTCAGGCCAGAGACAATTGTTTGTCCCGGGAAAATTATAAGTATAATTATAAGTATGCGACTTGCTCCATCCACCTCAGCTGCTTTCACGAAATTACATTTTCATAACTGTACTTGTACTATCCTCAATTACCTCTTTCCAATTTTTTGGACCTCACCTCTAACATCTCTTGATTTTACGAGAGTACGCCTCTTGATGGGTTTTTGTTTTTGGAGCGAAATGATGATGTTCAATGACTTTCACCTCATGTTACGATGGGTAGCGGAAATTGCTCTGTGATTTCTGTTTTTCGGTATACACATAAACTGTCAGTAGTTTCAGACTTAGAGTGAGATTCCATGAAGAATGAGTAGCGTTGTGGTTTGTTATTCGTGTTCTCGGGATACTATGCTCCGAACACATAAAAGTCAAACACACCAATTAAACAATATATATAATGTAATATGTGTACAATGTTCTATTATAACGTAAAAAGAGTAAACAAGTCGCTAGGCACTACAAGGCACAAATTAAAACTAAAATTATAATACGTTTTACAATGAACTTAAATCGACGCGCGCGAATCTCGCCGTGTGACGTCACGGGACACCTGCGCGTTCGGGAACTCCGATCGCGACCGATGACGCCCGAGTGCAACCGAATGCTGCACGCTACATCAGCCCCCCCGGAGACCGTTACGGTCGATAAAAATCGGGAAAGCGTACTTGACGTCCAGATTTCGTTCTTTGCACTGAACGTGAAATGCTTGGAGATGAATCAGCAAAGTGAGATTCCGAGTCGCTTAAGATGTACGCCGGCTTCAATCTGTCTAATGATACCGTGGCAGACTTTCCTTTTATATCTATTTTGTAATATTTATCTCGACGTTCTAGTACCGTATAGGGTCCTGTGTATGGCGGCTGCAGAGGTTTTCTAATAGCGTCTTGGCGGAGAAAAACTTGATTTGAAGATGATAACTGTTTACTTATGAAAACTGGAGAAGTACCATGATGTATCACAGGCGTTGGTTTGATCTTTCGGATGTAGGCTCTTAGACGGGAAAGAAAATCATTATGGTCTACGACTTCTGTTGTCGAGGTGTTGAAAAATGTACCCGGTAATCGTAGGGGCTCTCCATACACCAACTCTGCAGATGACGAACCAACATCTTCCTTCCATGCCGAACGTATTCCGAGAAGTACCCAAGGTAGAACCTCATACCATTCATCGTTCTCGTGGCACATAATTGCCGATTTGAGCTGGCGGTGGAATCTTTCGACCATACCATTTGCGGCTGGATGGTACGCTGTTGTTTGAATATGATGGGTTCCTGTTAATCTAGAAAGTTCTTTAAACAAATGTGCATCGAACTGTTTACCTCTGTCCGTCGTAATTTTCTCTGGGCAGCCAAAACGTGATATCCAGCCCGTAACGAAAGCTCTTGCCACTGTCTCAGCTTTGATATCATAGAGCGGCATAACCTCTGGCCAACGTGTAAACCTGTCCACTACTGTAAGACAGTATTTGAAATCGTGTGAAGCTGGCAGAGGCCCAATGAGATCTATATGAACGTGACTAAATCTATTAGATGGAGGAATAAACGCATGTACCGGAGACTGTATATGCCGTGTGATTTTCGCGCGCTGGCATGGGAGACAGGTGCGTACCCAGTTGCTGCAGTCCTTCTTAATGCTAGGCCAGACATATTTCTGTGTCATCAATCTTACAGTAGCTTTTACTCCTGGATGACTCAACCCGTGAATATTATCGAACGCTTGTTTACGAAACTGTGACGTCAGATAAAGTCGAGGAGAAGGGCTACGAGTATCACAATATAAGCTCTCACCCGAACCAGAAATGTTGATTTTCTGCAGGTCAAGTGAAGAGCCGCATTCTAGCAGTTTTTGAAGTTCTTGGTCGTCTTTTTGCGAAGATGCTAAAGCATGCATATCAAGCTCACTCGTAATTGCTTCTGTGCGGGAAAGAGCGTCTGCCACTACGTTATCGTCTCCTGAAATATGTCGTACATCGGTTGTAAATTGTGACACAAAATCAAAATAGCGAAATTGCCGCGGAGAACAGTTTTCTGATGCTTTTTTGAATGCTGAGACTATTGGTTTGTGATCGGTAAGCACAGTGAAAACTCTGCCTTCCACCATATGTCTAAAGTGCTTTACTGCTTCATAGATAGCTAACAACTCTCTATCGAATGGGCTATACTTTCTTTGAGCTTTATTCAATTTTTTTGAAAAGAATCCGAGTGGTTGCTGTCCTTCATCTGTCTTTTGCTGTAGTACGGCACCGATTGCATTATCAGAAGCATCCGTACAGAGTATCAAAGCTGCCGATGGGTTAGGATGAGCTAGCAATGTCGCTTCAGCTAAACTTTTCTTACAAGCGATAAAGGCTTCCAGCAGTTCAGCTGACCAGGTAATAGGCGTACGGGGTTTTAAAGCTGGGCCGGATAAAACATTATGGAGCGGAGCTTGGATATTTGCAGCTTTAGGCATGAAACGTCTATAGAAATTAACCATACCCAGAAATCTTCGTAATTCTTTAATAGTTTTCGGCTGCGGGAAGTTCTGGATCGCCTCCACTTTCTGAAGAAGCGGTCTGGTGCCCGAAGATGATACGGCGTAGCCTAAAAAATCTACCTGGGGCTCACCAAACACGCATTTCGAAACATTAATAACAACGCCGTGGTCCTGGAGACGTTGAAATACTTTCTTCAGATGTTCCAGGTGCAATGTCTCGTTCTGGCTCCCTATTAAAATATCATCGATATAAGGATAACAAAAGTCAAGGTCTCTCAAGATTTCATCCATGAAGCGTTGAAATGTTTGAGCTGCGTTGCAAAGACCGAAGCTCATAAACGGAAATTCAAATAATCCGAAAGGAGTCGTAACAGCTGTTTTCGCTATATCTGCTGGGTTTACTGGTAATTGATTATAAGCTCGGATCAAATCGATTTTGCTGTAGACGGTACACCCAAAAAGGTTATGTGAAAAGTCGCCTATATGGCGGACCGGGTATCGGTCAGGTATTGTACGCGCATTTAATGCCCGATAGTCGCCACACACGCGCCACTCATTATTTTTCTTCGGAACTAAGTGTAATGGCGATGACCATGGACTGTCTGATCTTACTGCAATACCTGCTCTTACCATATCCTCGAACTCACGGGTGGCTATTCGGAGTCGATCCGGTGCTAGACGACGAGGACGACTGAATACTGGTGGCCCTGGAGTGGTACGGATGTGGTGAAACGTATTATGTTTAATTTTACGCTTAGACAGGTCCCCAGCCGGACGAGTGATGTCCGGGAACTGAGAAAGCAAATCATGATAGCGTGAAGTACCTGTAACAGACTTAATTTGATATAAATCGGTTGACGCAGGTTGAGCGTGAGCACTGAGCGACGTTATATTGTCTATCAAACGGTGATGTCTAGCATCCACTAATAAGTTATAATGCGACAAAAAATCTATGCCTATAATAGGCTTGCCGACGTCGGCTATAACGAAACGCCAAAAGAATGCACGTCTAAGTCCAAAATCTAAAGAAATGTTTATCCAACCGAACGTGTTTATGGTTGAACCGTTTGCTGCATACAGTTTATAGTCTGTTTTCACACATTGTCGATTTTGTACGCACTTATACGGGTAAACACATAAGTCTGAACCGGTGTCAACTAAATATTGCACTTTTGTCTTACGATCGGTTACAAAAACACGGCCAGCTGTCACACTACCGCAGTCAGGAGTCGCCGTCTTCACTGACTGCTTGTTTCGTTTCCCTCTCTGAAGGAACACGGCTCCCGGCACTTCGTAGATTTGTTACCAAAACGTCGATGGTACCAGCAGAGCCTTGTATCTACGCTGGAGCGGCTTCGGGATCGTTGACGCCAGCGCGGGGACTGTGCTCGAGTTCTCGAGCGCGAATGGGAAATAGCCGACAGCTCATCCATCTTCTTTGCGAGATCATCAATGCGGCGTGTCAGTTGTTCCATAGTAAACGCAGAAGAAGAAACTTCGGTTGTGGGAACTGCCGTAGACATTGCAGCCACTTGATTCTGAGGTTGGAGCGTAATCTCATGAATTTTATCAACAATTTGAGCGACTGAGTCTAGAGGGAGATCGACTTGCGCTGCTATAATCGCTTGTACGTGACTAGGTAAACGACTCGTCCACAATGACCGAATGAACTCGTCAGGTACATCTGATCCAGCTAGATTTCGTAAGTGTCGCAAAAATTGTGACGGTTTTCTGTCGCCCAGTTCTTCATGTGTAAGAAGCTGTCTCACTCGTTGTTCTTGGGACGCAGATAACCGCGAAATCAACTCCGTTTTTATCTTCTCGTATTTGTTTTCCGTTGGCGGATTAGTTATAATGTCTTTAACTTCACACACGTATTTATAATCTAGATTTGCCAAGACGTGGTAAAATTTTGTCGCATCAACCGTGATATTTGAAAGCGCGAACTGTCCTTCCAATTGTACAAACCACAACGCGGGCTCATTGGGCCAAAATGGCGGGACTTTTACACCAACACGACAAACCTCACTCGTACTGTCCATCTTGCCGCTATTTGAAGTCATCACTTGTTAATGCAACGATTTAATATATTTATAACTTGTACACTGAATCACGTCGGGGTCACCACTGTGGTTTGTTATTCGTGTTCTCGGGATACTATGCTCCGAACACATAAAAGTCAAACACACCAATTAAACAATATATATAATGTAATATGTGTACAATGTTCTATTATAACGTAAAAAGAGTAAACAAGTCGCTAGGCACTACAAGGCACAAATTAAAACTAAAATTATAATACGTTTTACAATGAACTTAAATCGACGCGCGCGAATCTCGCCGTGTGACGTCACGGGACACCTGCGCGTTCGGGAACTCCGATCGCGACCGATGACGCCCGAGTGCAACCGAATGTTGCACGCTACAGCGTAGTTTATACAGAATTTAACTATAATGGTTTCTTGGAATTGCGGTAGATTATTTAGTAACAAACGGTATTGTTGCGAGGAGATAAGAAGGTCGGGGGACGTGTTAAATTATTTTATTATTTCATCATTTTTCAGCCAACCAATCGGTAAACAATAATATTCGACTAAAATATTTTTATTATTGTAATGTTTTATTATTTTGTTTATTTTACACTGTAAATATATCTGGTATAGATAAGTATGTCATTTATTTTACAAAACTGATGTATAAGCCCATGGTTCACCTGGTGTTCCATGGTTCATCGATGTCACCACGTGGTCAACAATGAGGTCTAAGTCTTAATTTTTTTGTACAGCCGCTGTCATAATACTTCAAAGCAGAACATTGGATTGCTTCGCGATCATAGACCTTTAAAGTAGGGACGCGACCACTGAAGTATGAAACCTATGGAAATGAAACGTCAACAAAAAATTCGTGCCACTGTGACGTCATCTGGCCACAAAACATGGCGGTTTTAGTGCTGTACAAAAGATTTTAATGTTAGTAGGTTTTATCGATAAACGTTCTTGGCTCATTTTATTTTAAATATTGTTGAGTATGAATTATTTGTAGAATTTATACTTTAATAGGAAGTAAGTATATTGTTATGTGCAAAGATGATGTGATTTAGATATTATGTGAAATCTAAGACGAGTTCGTGTTTCAAATTTGCCAAGTAAACGATATGACGATTTTTAAAATTTGCTACACTGATTTTATAAAGTTGTCGTTTGCCACAAAACATAAAGATATGGCGTAGTACTGTGCCATCTGCCCGTTTCTAGCATGCTAAATGTTATCGTATTTTGAGTACCTACGTGTTTTTCTTAGACTATTACAATCTATTTTAATTGTTTTGCTGACTCTAAAGTCCGTAACACACTACCACAGCGCACATCAAGGAAGGTGCGCCGCACCATTTGAATCACTATCACTTGAGAGTGATTCAAATTTTAAAGTTATCAAGGGACCGCGTGATAAAAAAAAAACACCTACAGAACATTTATTCATTAATTACAAACGTCATTCCTTGTGACTTCCTCTCTAAAATCACTTAATTATTAAATATTTAACGAATTTGCAATAGTGTTTTACTCACTACGGAATAAAACTATTTTATTTAAATAGTTCCGAAGAGATTTTCTCGGTAGCCTTTTTCCCGAAATATCTAAACAGAATGTCTAAATATGTTTTGATGACATATTTTATAAAGAGGTATTTATGATTAGTGTCATGATCAATAGATTCCGACCGAAAAATGGTGTCCGATTTTTCGAATAAGGGCTTCATAATGGATTTAAATATTTATATAGATAGTAGTTTTGGGGCATCGACTTTCTTGAGATCCTATAAAATATGTTTTAATTATTATTTTTGTATGTTTTAGGCATGATAAAATAAGTAATTTTATATAAGCAATCATATTAAATCGATATTAAAGTTAATAAATAATGTACAACCCAAAACAGATGGCTGAACTGACGTGACAATGACATTTGGTGCGCTAAACATGGCGGATTTTCGGCCTCATTTGACATTTACGTATATTCATGTTTCATTTTATGTACGCACTGAAATACTGTTATATTGTTTTCCTGCGAGTTACAGTGCTGAGTAAGAACGAGATAGATATAATATGTTTATGTGCGTGCCTTCAAAATGGCTGCTATTTNAGTGTGTAAGGTCAGGTCAATTTTGTATGTTTTAGGCATGATAAAATAAGTAATTTTATAAAATACGTACAATTGCTTATATAAATAGCAGCCATTTTGAAGGCACACACATATATCTATCTCGTTCTTACTCAGCACTGTAACTCGCAGGAAAACAATATAACAGTATTTCAGTGCGTACATAAAATGAAACATGAATATACGTAAATACCTAATAAGGCCGAAAATCCGCCATGCTTGGTGCACCAAATATCATTGTCAGTCAGTTCAGCCGTCTGTTTTGGGTTGTACATTATTTATTGACCTTGATATCGATTTAATATGATTGCTTATATAAAATTTCTTATTTTATCATGCTACCCCGCTTAAAACATACAAAAATAATAATTAAAACATAATTTATAGGAACCCAAGAAAGTCGATGCCCCAAAACTATTATTTAAATATATTTAAATTGATTATGGAGCACTACTCCGTAAATTCGGACACCATTTTTCGGTGAGAATCTATTGAGCATGACACTAATCATAAATACCACAAAAATTTAATCTTAATTTTCTAAACCTAGTCCTATTAAGAGAAGTGCTTCGCTGAATCTACCACGGGATCTGAATCGCGACCCGGTGAGAAACTCAGAAACTCTTGCTTTATAAGTTTGGTAACATGCTTTCATTAGCTTTGTATGTACGTTTGTACAAATTCTTTGAACACCTTCACCGGAGGACCTATGGTGATACAATAATTTTATAACTTGGCTCTAATATCCTGACCAGTAGCGACATTACGCTGACGTTTCACGGGTCGTCGGATTAAGAGGTGTTCCAAGCGCCGTGGTCGCTTGCAGACTGACGACTGGGGCATGTTAGGAGCAGAGTGAGCAGACCTCTCTTCTACCCTCTCTAGTTCGTCTGGTGCTACCGCTGGAACTCGATAAGTTGACCTGACCTTACACACTCGCAGTATCGACAATATTTTCCGAACACTTTGAGAACGTATTGTTTTTGTATTAAGCCTAACTGCAGATTCTATTTCCTCTATCACTAGATAACCTGAAGCCATCACACCCGAAGTCTTTATATTGGGCTATTTTAATATCTTCTTTGACCTGTCTTCGTGCATTCAACAGATATCTGTTGTTCATGAAATCAATGGCATACTTCTGGTCTCCGGTAAGTGCTCGCAGACTTATGCGTGCGCTTGTGTGCAATATGTAATTACTTCATATTAAAGTATAAATTCTACAAATAATTAATACACAACACAAGCTTCTTCCATTTGACTCCATACAGAGGAGGGCCGTTCGAATCGTCGATAATCCCATTCTCGCGGATCGTTTGGAACCTTTGGGTCTGCGGAGGGACTTCGGTTCCCTCTGTATTTTGTACCGAATGTTCCATGGGGAGTGCTCTGAGGAATTGTTCGAGATGATACCGGCATCTCGTTTTTACCATCGCACCGCCCGCCACCGGAGTAGAGTTCATCCATACTACCTGGAGCCACTGCGGTCATCCACAGTGCGTTTCCAGAGGTCTTTTCTGCCACGTACCATCCGGCTATGGAATGAGCTCCCCTCCACGGTGTTTCCCGAGCGCTATGACATGTCCTTCTTTAANAATGCATGTCTTTAAGACATATTACTTATAACGCTAATGCTTTTAATTAACAACTCATCAACATTTCTCATTTCACAAACAACTTTCAGCATTAGATGATCATAATTGAAAAGAAAATCGTAGTTAGATTCATAATCACACATGTTTATTATATTAGTCATCGTAATAAAATACAATTTGAGTTTCGGTTTGCAATTGACATAAATTTATAGAGGTCCTTATTTGTTTAAAATTATCAAAATTATTCAAATCTTCATTTAAACCATATAAAATGATTTCTCTGATAACATTAGCCCATAATGCACCACTCGGTTTACAAAGAATATCAAAATCTTCTCCTTCTGCTTGTATTGTAAGGCTCTTGTCATCGGCCTTAAAAATCATGGTCATTGATTCAGACATAAACAATTCTCCTTTAGCATGGCATTTTATGTCAGTTTCTGTATTTTTTTCTTCTTCATCTTCATCGGCCTCTTCCTCTATGACTTCTTTTTGTTTCATTCTGTGTTGTTTCCTCACTGTTTCTTCACCTTCGTCTACTTTGTCTTCCCCTTCTTTTTCTTCCTCTTCCTCTTCTGTCTCATCGATTAATGTTTCATTGCTACATTTAAGAGCTATTGTAAGAGAATATTGAGAACGAAGGCGCGTATCAACAGCAGTTAGTGTTACATCCTGTAAATTAAAAATTATTTCATTTGTTGACGATGGCTTGAGGTTGCTTTAAGAATGCTTTAACTCATACGCAGGTGATTTAAAAGTTTTTAAAGTTTACTTCAATATACATTTAAGGTTAGTTTGATATTTCTTAATATACGTAGTGTCAACAAAGAAAATCTTATTACTTAAAGATGAATTGAGCGACGTGCTAGAAGGATTGGATTTGTCTATTTTAATATAATAGTGAATAAAAAACCAAAATATTCCGAATTGATTTAACTGAGCTTATAGAGAAAATCAAGGAATTGGCTGTCAATAAAATATATTTAATTCTTCATTTAAATATTACTCTGCGTGAAACTTGATTATCCACAACACCAGCGTAGTTTTAATTTCGTCGTTAATTATTCAACGGAGTTTAGTACCTCTCTTGAGTGAGTACCTCTACTTATGTATGCGTTTATGGCACCGCGATTACTGGGTCGTATATGCACAATTGATTCCAAAGCTGGTAAGTGACAATTAAAAAATAATAATTGACAAAAATGTCAATAACTTAATCAATGAGTGAGTGATTGAAGGCTGAGCCTGAGGCTAACCGGAGTACTTGTCTCGATATCGTTTCCCGGTTATATCTGTACGAGTCTTCTTAAATTTTTTAAATATGTTTAACTAGGTGTTAGAAACTTTTTGATACATGTATTGGGAATAACTCTTGGGATAAACTCACCTTCTGCAAAACGATGATAGATCCTGCACGTACCATAGTTAAGAAGTCAGATTCTGTTGTTGTCATAGTTACTGCGTCTCCTACGTTACCTTCAATTTTTAAACCACTCCATAGCTCATACCAGGACTCGGACGGCAACCAAACATGTACGTGACTTTGTGATGGTTGCAAATTCGGAACTATTAACAAGTCATTCCCAACACTAAACTGTGTGCTGGTATCCTTTAGCTGATCTATTTCTGGGTATTGGAAAAACATTGGCCTGAGAAGAGGCCCATTCTGTAATACAGTGTAGAAGTAAGGGGCTAAACTGATTCTTGTTCTCATGGCATTTATCATCAAAGTCCTATGGGTCCCTTCAAAAGATAATGGGTCTCTGCCCCCATCCCTGGAATGAATTTTTATCATTGGCATGTAAGTTGCTGCCATGTACCATTTCACGCACAGATTATTGTGTGTGTTGATTTCCAAATGCTCGGTGTCCCCGCAAATCGGAGACGACCATAACCAATTGCCTGATGCACCTCCCAAGGCTGCTTCTGTGATTTCTCGATGTAGACCAGACCAAGTAGTGGAGACATTTTGACGGTTAATTATGATTTTGCCGCTTAAAAATTGACTGGATGTAAACGTGGGAACTTCTCCTAGAACTTCTTTTAGAGAATCAACGTAATAGTTCCCGTATTCATTGTGGTTATGCATGTATATTTTGCCATCCGTGCGAGTTGCGTTCCATTTTGGAGTATGGTTAAAAGCAGCTTCTAGATACTGGAAAAAAAGCATTTATATTTGTTTATCATCAAATTTTAAAAGAAAGTTATTAGTGTACACAACGGTAATATTTACCTTATTAAAATATGGAAGGTAATTCTGCATGTTATCGACTTTTTTATCACTTTCATCCAAAGGCCATGTATCTTCTAATAGCATTCCGTCTATTGGTAGATTGTACACCCACATTTTCTGAATGAATTCTAGACTAATATTTTTGTAATCTGGATAAATTACTTTTTCATCTTTCACCAATCCTTTGTAGAAGCCACCAGAATTGCTTTGAAGCATCATACTTCTAAATGGTCTTACATCGAAACAGGCAGGGGGTCGTGTGGCTGTTCTCGGGAGTACTATATCTGGCTCTTCTTCTTCCTCTTGCTCCATTTCTTCGTGATACATTATCTAAACAAAACAAATCTCATTAGGTTTAGGTGGACGAGCTCACAGCCCATCTGGTGTTAAGTGGTTACTGGAGCACATAGACAACTACGACGTAAATGCGCCGCACACCTTGAGATATCAGTTCTAAGGTCTCAGTATAGTTACAACGCCTGCCCCACCCTTCAAACCGAAACGCATTACTGCTTCACGGCAGAAATAGGTTGGGTGGTGGTACCTACCCGTGCGGACTCACAAGAGGTCCGACCACCAGTAAAAAGTGTTACTCGTTCCGAATGAACTAGGCATCCTATATGCTAGTGCTAGTTTTAGAGGAATATCTTAAATAAACTAATTTTAAAACGTAAACGTTTTTTTAAATTGATACAGCAAACCGAAGAGAGAAAATAGCCTTAAAATGTGCCGAAAATCGCGCCCGTTTTTGTAGTTAGGTGCGTTTCGGTAGCAGTTTTTTAAAAACATCAAACATACGCACGTATGGCTTCATGTGTGGAATAAAACGTTTCCTGGCGTTCCTCACGGCTCGAGCGCCGTTGTTGACGAGAGTGATTTTCGCACGAGTGCAATCGTTATCCCATATGATCGGAGAAACACCACAGTGACTATCGAAGGGCACGTTCTGACGACCGAGGGTATTTATAAAGTTATTGAGCTGGGTAACGGTCAGAGCTGTGTTTGGTGTCGTTTCACTGAAATATACAAATGGAATTTAAAAAAAATTCTTTTTTGCATAGATGGGGGTGGACTTACTCACAGCCCACCTGGTGTTGAGTGGTTACTGGAGCTCATAGACATCTACAACGAAAATGCGCCACCCAACTTGAGATATAAGTTCTAAGATGTCAGTATAGTTCATTTTTATTACACGATGTTATTCCTTCACCGTGGAAGTCAATCGTGAACATTTGTTGAGTACGTATTTCATTAGAAAAATTGGAACCCGCCTGAGATTCGAACACCGGTGCATCGCTCTACACCAGTGATTATCAAACTTATTTCTTTTACCGCCCCCTTTGAAAATCAATTATTTTTCAGCGCCCCCCATTTTTATACACCCCTTTTTTTTAAACTTTAAAACCACAATTTTATTAATAAATGTTGTATTAATTTTAGAAAATGTAGTACCACGTAGTACATATATATTTGTAGATGCTATTATTGTTTCTTCATATTATATGTCCGTACATTGCTACAGAGCGTTTATTTACAAATTTGCAAAGTAAAAATGCATTCTTCTCATTAATATGTTTGCTTAAATTCAGAATTACCAAAATAAATTGCTAGTTCACTGTACTGTTACTATGCTAATTTATTAGAACGAAACTATTTTTGTTGGATATCTTTCTCATTAATATAAGATTCTCATCATAAGATAATTAAAAATTTATATTTCGACTAGTAAATAATACTACTAACAATAATAACTTATTAAACTACGAATAAGCTAAACCTGGAAGTCGTAGAGGATTTCATTTATCTGGGCTCCGTCATAGCTAGTAATGGATCCTCCGAAAAGGACCTCAGAAGGCGAATCAGNATCTTTCTCATTAATATAAGATTCTCATCATAAGATAATTAAAAATTTATATTTCGACTAGTAAATAATACTACTAACAATAATAACTTATTAAACTACGAATAAGCTAAACCTGGAAGTCGTAGAGGATTTCATTTATCTGGGCTCCGTCATAGCTAGTAATGGATCCTCCGAAAAGGACCTCAGAAGGCGAATCAGTATGGCAAATAGAGCTATGTCCCAAATGGACCGTGTTTAGGCTGATAGAAACACCTCGGGTAATACCAAAAAGCAGCTCGTCACCTCCCTCGTCTTTTCCATTTTTCTCTATGGCGCAGAGACTTGGACCCTCAAGAAAGCCGACCGCCAACGCATCGACGCGTTTGAGATGTGGTGCTGGAGGAAAATGCTCAGGAGTCCTGCGGGGCGTCGTACGGGGTCCCCTCCCCGGACTCAGCGTAATTTGTTACGCAGACGACACTTTGGTCGTGGCTCCGGGGAGGGACTACCGGGAGTCTGCCCGTCTGGCGTGCGCAGGCGTGGCACACGTCGTCACAAGGATCCGACGGTTGGGGCTCGAGGTGGCGCTCGACAAAACCCAGGCCCTGTTGTTTCACGGGCCGGGACGAGCGCCGCCTCTGGGTGCCCACCTCGTGATCGGAGGCGTCCGCGTGGGGGTCAGGGTGACCGGTCTTCGGTACCTCGGCCTCGAACTGGATAGTCGGTGGAACTTCCGCGCTCACTTTGAGAAGTTCGGCCCTCGACTGATGGCGACGGCCGGCTCTCTGAGCCAGCTGCTTCCAAACGTCGGGGGTCCCGATCAGGTGGCGCGCCGCCTCTACATGGGGATGGTGCGGTCGATGGCACTATACGGGGCTCCCGTATGGTGCCGCACCCTGACCCGCAAGAACGTCGCGGCTCTGCGACGTCCGCAGCGTGCGATCGCGGTCAGGGCGATCCGAGGATACCGCACCGTCTCCTTCGAGGCGGCGTGCTTGCTCGCCGGGGCGCCACCTTGGGACCTGGAGGCGGAGGCGCTCGCTGCCGATTACAGGTGGCGTAGCGACCTCCGCTCTAGGGGGGAAGGGCGCCCCAGCGAAGGTGTAGTTCGAGCGCGGAGGCTCCACTCTCAGCGGTCCGTGCTGGAGGCGTGGTCTCGCCGCTTGGCGGACCCGTCGGCCGGCCTCCGTACCGTCGAGGCGATCCGTCCGGTCCTCGCGGACTGGGTGGGCCGCGACCGCGGATGCCTCACCTTCCGGCTGACGCAGATGTTGACCAGCCATGGGTGTTTTGGCCGGTACCTCTTCAAGATAGCCGGAAGGGAACCGACGGCGCAGTGCCACCACTGCGCGGACCGCGACGAGGAAGACACAGCGGAACACACGCTGGCGCGTTGCTCTGGATTCGACGAGCAACGCGCCGCCCTCGTCGCGGTCATAGGAGAGGACCTCTCACTGCCGCGCGTCGTGGCTACAATGCTCGGCAGTGACGCGTCCTGGAAGGCGATGCTCGACTTCTGCGAGTCCACCATCTCGCAGAAGGAGGCGGCGGAGCGAGAGAGGGAGAGCTCTTCCCTTTCCGCACCGATCCGTCGCCGTCGAGCCGGGGGCCGGAGGCGGGAATACGCCCGTACGTCGCGGCCCCGGGACGACCTGAGAGGGTGAGGCCGTGCGGCGCGCTACCAGCACTCTAGCGCGCTGCCGTGGAGTGAATAGAGCGACCGGTCGACGGTGTATCGCGTCCCGACCCGGCAGGCTGGTTCTGGTCCAGCGGGGTATTCCAGGACACCAGCGGCACCGTCTGGGCGGCCCGACGGGCTGCCGTACCGAGACGGCCGACGTTTCAGAGCCTTCGATTCGCCTCGAAGGCTCTGTCGGCTGGGCGTCCTTGGGGTGAGCTGCGCCGTCTGGTTGTAGTGTTGACTGCGGTAGCCCCCCTACCTCATCCGAGTTCTGACCTCGGAGGGGATCGGACGTCGGGTGTAAGAGTGCAGGGGAATCGTTTAGTAGGTGGGTCCTAAAATCCTTGGGCCCGCGGTCTGCTCACAACACCATGCAGACCGTTGAGTCTCACATACCCTGCGCGCCCCTCTTGCGTGGGGACCTCGTAGGAGGTTCGGCCCTCTACCCGAAAAAAAAAAAAAAAGTTTTTTTGTTACGGAATTTCATGATTCGGTCGCCGCGCTCAAAGCCCGCGATAAAAGCTATGCAATAGCTTAAAAATGTATGAACTTGTAATAAAATCTTTTTGGCTATACTATTTGTATCTGGCTGGTTTTGGTATGATTAAAAGTTTAAATTCGAAAGAAGATAATTCCAAATTAAAATTAGGAAGATGTGTGATTTTTATTTATTTTTCGTACTGTCAAGATGAGTGAATCTAATGAAGATATTCGATACATTTTAAAATTTTACTACAAAAAAGGTAAAAAGCAACGCAAGCCGTGAAAAAAAATTGTGATGTTTATATTATGGACCTAGTGCGGTGTCTGTGAGAGTAGCACAAATTTGGTTTCAGCGTTTTCAATCCGGAAATTTTGATGTCGAAAACGCACTTCGCTGTGGTCGCCCTATTACGGATAAAATCGATGCCATTTTTGAAAAAGTGGGGCAAGATCGGCATATCAGTAGTTAAGACGTAACTGAAGAACTGGCAATTGACTACAAAATAGTTATGGCGCATTTGAAAAAAACTGGGTACACAAAAAAGCTCACTGAAAGAAACCTAATGAACCGTGTACTCATTTGTGATTCTTTATTACGACGTAATGAAACCGAACCATTTGTGAAGAAGCTGATAACTGGTGATGAAAAGTGGATCACGTACGACAAGAACGTACGAGAAAGGTTGTGGTCAAAGGCTAACTCGCAACAAGGTGATGCTGTGTGTGGTGGGATTGGAAGGGCGTTATACATTATGAGCTGTTACCACCAGGCAGGACCATCGATTCTGAACTGTACTGCGAACAACTGATGAGATTAAAACAAGAAGTTGAGAGAAAGCGGCCGGAATTAATCAACAGAAGGGGTGTGGTTTTTCATCACGATAACGCTAGACCCCACACATATTTAGCCACTCAGCAAAAATTAAGAGAGCTTGGCTGGAAGGTGTTAATGTATCCGCCGTATAGTCCTGACCTTGCATCTTCAGATTTCTACCTGTTTTGGTCTCTTCAGAATTCTTTAGGCAGTGTCAGGTTAACATCACGAGAGGACTGCCAAAACCAATTGTCGCAGTATTTTGATCAGAAGCCCTAAAATTTCTATAACAATGGGATCATGTCCCTACCTACAGGATGACAAAAAGTTACCGAACAAAATGGTACCGACGTACTTTAGTTAAATGTGAATAAACTATATTAAAAAAGGTTGTGAATTTTCTTAAAAAATACGAAGAAACTTTTTCCCCAACCTATTATTATATAAAAATAAAATAGTAAACAATGTTTACAATAAGTTAGCTGTTTAGGCTTACTATACTATTTGCCATTGGAAGGTAATGGGTAAATTGTAAAAAATAATAATCTAAGACAAGTTTTAAACAATAATTATATACGCATTTCCATTTTATATAAAAATTATGATTCTTACATCAGTAATTTCTCATAAAATGCTAAGAAAATGCTGTAAAATGCCCTTATGTTAAAAACAAGAAAGAAAATAAAGAAAACCTCAATTTGTGTTAGTTTACGTATGTGTAATATTTTAAAACTCTGCATGGTAGTTTTTTTCTAATGTTTAAAATAATTTCTGGTGCAATGTAATTAAGGTAAAATTGCTCTAATTTTTTAACTATCATCGATCATGTTCCGCAGAAACTTGTTACAACTTGATTGCGTACGGTGTGTGGGCTATCCTACGAAATCTATGTTAAATATTTTAAGTTTTTATAACATCATACAGGGTAGAAATATAAGCTAATTATTCGTTATTGTGTAGTAGGTGAGTTTTAATTTTAGTGAAATTTAAAATACTATAAAGTAAATGAAATTAAAAATTTTACAGCGCCCCCCTAACCCACATCAACGCCCCCCATTTTTTCCTGGGCCCCTTAACGCCCCCCTCTAGGTTTCAAACGCCCCCAAGGGGGCGTTATCGCCCACTTTGAGAAAGACTGCTCTACACGAATGCGACGGACGTCTTATCCGTTAAGCCACGACGACTTCAAAAATGTCCTGATGATCTTATGTGGCCTGAAGGCTTTTCTAGTTTCACCAGGACAGGTGTGCGAGCAAAGGCTGAGTCAGGAGGGAAGGGATTTGATAACAGCTGCTCGAGAGCCTCCGGAGGAGACCTAATAATTCAATGGAAACTGCTTCGCGAATGAATTTACTACCGTATCGGAATCGCCGCTCCCTGAGAAGATTCAGCGAGAAAATCAGCGGGCAACTCAGCGGGCTGATGATGTATATGGGTTAGGTTGCCTGTCGAAATTTTTACAGAGTTCAACGAGTACTAGAGTCTACTAGAGACTAGAGTCTCTAAGCCTGCTCCTAAGGTTTTAGAGCTGAAGGCGTTTAATACAAGAGTTATTACGAGATACGTGTTTAGGGCGGCAACATATAAGATTGATCCGTCTGCTCTGCTAAAAATAAGTTATACTTTATGTATCAAAACTATGAAAGATAAAGTCTAGTCCATGAAAGCAAATGTTACACATGACCATACCAAGATAATGAACATATTTATTAAGCTTGAGTTAAGTTGAGATGTGCCTTTAAAGTTGATAAATTAAGTCTCTATTTTTTAGACTTCTATTGGCACGTTCTAGAAAAATACAGAGTACGAAGCTAATCAGAATTATGTTTGTAAAACGTATTTACGTTCAATGGCTTATATTAAAATTGGGATATTTTCGGTTATATTTTGTACGATTAAGAGAAAACAAGATAAATAACCTTTCTAGTTTCTTTGAAATTCAATCTTTAACGTAGATACGGACCTTTACGAAGCTCACTTTTCAAGAACTGCCCAAAGTTATTTTTATCTCCTTTTAGTTTCAGTTCATAAGCATTGCATAAATTAATTCATTAATTTCTTTCATCTGGTGTGAATCTTTGAATGTATTACTCGAAATAAATAATCGATGCTCTTTGTTTTTTTTAATTAAAACCTGACGATTATTGCATTAGCCGTTGTTGCTTTAGGAATTACTTTTCGTTATCATTCTTGAAATCGGTATTTCCGTAGTATTTGGTTTAAAATATTTGTTTTTGTACTATGAAATCTGGATATAATAATATGTTTTGTTTTTAATGATTGGGGGGACGAGCTCTCTGCCTACCTGATGTTAAGTGGATACCGGAGTCCATAGACATCAACAACGTTAATGGCGCTATCCACTTTGAGACATGAGGTCTCGGTTTTACACAACGACTTCCCCACCCTTCAAACCGAAACGCATTACTGCTTCACGGAAAAAAAGGGCGGTAGTGGTGATACCTACCCGTGCAAGCTCACAAGACGTACCATCAGTAAATATATTTTAAAGTATAAAAACTCACCTGCAGATATGGGCTCCGAACATCCAATACTCCATTCGTTTATTTACTCCGAGTAAATTCCTTACATCTCGCATTATGTCCGCAGGCTTCGGACCCACAAACAAATGTAATTTCACTCCCAAACTTGTTATACTCCGGAGTACGATTTGGTTTTCTTTTCGAATTGTTATAACAGTGGGTGCTACTGCCTCGATCAATATCCCGTGGTAACTATGACCTGACTTTGCGAAAATTAATGGAATCCCACTGATTCCGCCGTTATGATTGTAAAGAACTTTAGTTGTTTTTTCCAATGGTATTTCGCCCAGACCGTACATAGATTCATTTGTCAACCAAAATGTTAGCTCCCATATGTTTTGTGATGCAACAAGAGGACCTCTGTTCGTATTGAAAATCATTCTTTCAGTAGAATTTACTACCACGTTCAATTCTGGTGAAGCAACATCGTAAAAATAATTCTTTTCTTCTAATCTATTACCGTGAGGTATTTCGACTAATGCTGGATTGTAAAAGTTTAACGATAAATGACTTTTGGATACCTCGTCAATTGACAGTTTGATTCTTGGTAAACTATTCTGAAACGAGAACGGAATGGTCGCTACTCTGGCTGATAAGACGACATCTTCGTCCCACACTCGGTCCATGACGTAGGAAAACCTTGATGGGAATCTATGGAAGCAAGTTTTGCTCCTAAAGTCATAGCAGCAATGTGGATGGCATTGCTCGGAGTTCACATTAGCATAGCCGCACGGCAGTCTTAAAGGTCTGGCTACGAGACAGGAGCCAAATGAAAAACCATCTGTGGGAGGTAAATCAATGCTGGTGAAGAATAGGAATCGGTAGATCAAAACTGGAGCAACAACGGCTACTACCAACGAAACTAATATCACTTTAATTGGTCTGTTTAGCAAAATTTTATCGTACCATCTGATCTCTGAAACAACAAAGTACAAAGTCATCAGTAATGCAAAAGTTATTGAAATAAGTCTACATATTATCTATACTTATACTTAATATTATAAAGAGGAAAGATTTGTTTGTTTGTTTGTTTCGAATAGGCTCCGAAACTACTGGACCGATTTGAAAAATTCTTTTTCCATTAGAATCCGACATTGTCCCTGATGAACATAGGCTACTTTTTTTAAATTTTTTTTTTTTATTAAATTTTTTTGGTTTCATGTGTGTTTTAATGTTTCCGAAGCGAAGCGAGGGCGGGTCGCTAGTATTATATATTTTAGAGAAAATTTACTATAAATTAATGCTGGAGGTAGATTTACGATTTACTACAGGTAATCTGAAAATTAGTACATGTCAAGATACTTTGATTGTAGCCTATATTGCCTAGCCTGTACTGACTTTTATAAATTTATATGGCACAAGTAAGAAGCTGGTCACAAATTACATGAGTGCTATGACATATAATTAGAAAAAATAATAATGCGAAAAGGTTTTCAGAATGGTACTTTCTGTATAAAGTTTACTTAAAAATTATGGTTCGAACGTCAGAAACATCCAGAAAAATACAAAAATCACAATGGAGATTTTAAAACTAGATCCAACCTTATATTGGCGAGTCCAGATTTTAAACCACATACCTATTAAAACCGTAATGTACATATCGACGTTTGAAAGGCAAACGTGACTAAGCGACAATGCGTGAACTTTACAGTAGACTAATTTAAAGTTGAAATACCTGAAAAAAATTCTATTTTAACGAATCTAGCTGTAGGATTGAAATGATTTTAATAGACTTACAAATATATTTTTTTTGCGCATCGAATATGGTTATTGCCTATCATTTATGTACATAGCAGTTGTTGTCGCTTAATCACGTTTGCCTTTCAAGCGTCGATATGTATATACATATAATATGTAGATATATGTTCTTAGCACTCTTAAGCACCTGATACAAATATAATAGCACACATTCAAATAATCACATTTAAACACTCTATTCCACACTTTCAAATTTTCATTGCATAGATGGGTGAGTGAATTCACTGCCCGTTTGACGGTAAGTGGTTACCAAATTATCGTAACTTGAATGTGGATAGGATTGCTTAACGACTGTACCGCTCTTAAAAAAGACATGACTGCTTCGTAGAAATTTACGTGATTGTATTATCCACCCGTGCGGGCGTATCCCGAGGGTGTAGTGCGAGTTTTTTAACGTTCTCGGTAGCGTAAAAGTTAACTCAAATTTATACGAAGTTGGAACAGTGCCCCTAGCGCCAAACGTAGGCAAACGTTCCAACTGCATACAAATTTGGGTTAACTATTACGCTATGGAGATGTTGAAAAACTCGCACTAAGCACACCGGTGAGTTAACTTTTCTAAGCACGACTACGTAATTTTGTAGTCTAGTTTGAATATTTAGGATTCCGTTTCAGATAGTAGAAAAGATAGCCAATTCAATATGTACAGACGACGACCGAGCTTAGCTCGGTTTTTTTTTTTGATAAATTGTGTTTTTTAGAAATTATATTTAAATACTAATTACATATTGATAAAATGATGAAATATTCCAAGATCCTCTAGGCATTTTTAAGTGAACAAGTGAGTTAAAAAGACACAAATAATATAAATAAACAATTCATTTTCTTGGTCTAACCTTAAACCAAACACTCATTGGCTTCGGGTGGCTTAACAACGCCATCTGCTAAAATAGCTTTAGTGTAATTGAGTCTTGCTCTCAATTATGAAACGTAGTATTATTATTCACCAATAGATGTCGGGAAGAGTCATAAAGTTGATTATCGATAAAATTGATTATTGAAAACACGAATAAAACAACATTTTCTGAAAATAAATCGTAGCTAGATCGATTTATCGTCTCCGAAATCCCCTGTATACTAAATTTTCTAAAAATCATTGGAGCCGTTTACGAGATTCAGATTATATATATTTATACACAAGAATTGCTCGTTTAAAGGTATAAGATAAGATAAAGCGTACGAATACGTCCTACCACCAGCAAAAAGCCTAGAAAACAAGCCTAAGAAAGCGGAAATTAATGGAAAGTGTTCCGCCCATTTTGGCCGCCAAGCAAACATCGTTCCGGCTTAATATATATAACCGATATAATTGAGACCTGGATTTTATAGCCTAAGGTAGGTATCGCCGAACCTGTAACCACACAACATTATGAATGCTGTGTGCTAATCTGGGATAATAGAGAAATAAGATTTTGTTTGATTTGTTCTAACGATATTCACAGATTAGCTTTTCGCTTGTAGCTTCGCCCTTTTGAACTGTACTTTGTATGGTGTGGATTGAGTCTTAAGATGAAATATTTCTTTCGCGGGGTTTGAACGATTTTCATACCGAATTTCGTCAAAATCGATTCTATAGTGTGTGCGTGAAAACACAACATACAGACGGAGCTGGCTATATTGTTATGTTCAATAAAAGTGTGTATTAATCAAGTTTGCTCACGTTTAGTTTTCTCGTATTCAAATTCATAATCATCTTCTTGAGTCTCGTTCAAAGGTTTTGGTGCGTGCGGTATCATCTTTCATGTTTGTTTTCTGTTTAGATCTGAAAAATTCAACGAATATCTTATTTTGAAATATTCCAATTTTTCTTATATCTATCTTAAATGTGTGCGTTGATTCTATTTTCGTTGTGTTAAGCCATATCGCCTTTTTGCATTAAAAGTGTACAATTTAAAAAACTATTCGAAATTGAGTTAATATGCGGTATCATTTGGTATCACCAGTATTTATCTCATAAATACTGTCAAAAGAGCGTAGTTTAGTTTTAGTTTTTATTTATTAGTTTACTTATGTTTTGACTAATATTAACAAAATTAATGCATAATTTATCTTACTTTAAAAGACAGATAATGTAAACAATAAAAAAAAAATGTTGCAAAGATGATTAATATTAAAAATATCACATGTAACCTTTAAAACACTCTTCTGTAAAATTAGTAAGTTTTGAGATTATACAGTTTTAATGCGAGAAGACGATATGCTTAATCAAAGACTTTATCAAAGACGACCGCGTGTTGTCTCTACAGAATACGGTCTTGATGTATCTAAAGTAATGATATTTCAATGCTTCGAACCGGAATACTGACTGATCGGCGGTAATTTTTTTCTTTTTCTTTTTCCTAGATATTGCTAGTAGCCTCGAGGGATTATGCTAGATTCAATCGACGTGGCATGTTTGTGTTTACTTGTGCGGGTTTATAATACCACTAGTATTCTCGGCAGACTCTATCCCATGATCTGTAAGCGGAGTAAAATGTCCCTTCGGAACAAGGTAACACTTTACAAAACTTGCATAAGGCCCGTCATGACTTACGCGAGTGTGGTGTTCGCTCACGCGGCCCGCACACACATAAACACCCACCAATCCCTACAATCCCGCTTTTGCAGGTTAGCCGTCGAGGCTCCGTGGTTCGTGAGGAACATCGACCTACACGACGACCTGGGCCTCGAATCGGTCCGCAAACACATGAAGTCAGTATCGGAACGTTACTTCGATAAGGCTATGCGTCATGATAATGGCCTTATTGTTGCCGCCGCTGATTACTCCCCGAATCCTAATCACGCAGGAGCAAGTCACCGTCGTCGCCCTAGACACGTCCTTACGGATCCATCAGATCCAATAACTCTTGCATTAGATACCTTCAGCTCTAACACTAGGAGCAGGCTGAGGAACCCCGGTAACCGTACTCGTCGAACTCGACAAAGAGGTCGACGTGCAACCTAACCATGCATCAGCCCGCTGAGTTTCTCGCCGGCTCTTCTCAGTGGGTCGCGATTCCGATCCGGTAGTAGATTCATTCGCGAAGCAATTTCTTTTGAGTTGTTAGGTCTCCTTCTGAGGCGCTCGGGCAGTTGTTAGCAAATCCCACCCCTCCTGGCTGAGCCTTTGCTCGCCCATCTGTCCTGGTGAAGCTGGAAAGGCCTCCGGGCCACCAGTAATCTTTCAATCATAAAAAAAATGCCACTAGTAATTAGCCATAAATTTTGCGAGTTTGGTTTTTAATATGCAATGCTATTTCTTCATTATGGAAGTCGTTCGTGGATACATGTTAGGTTCATGCATATTTTCTTTTCCAAGAAAATTTGACTAGTCTTGTAGGATTTTGCAGTGCATAGTCGCATAGCGCGTGACGTGTACCCTAGGCGCTTTATTCTTTAAGCCACGAAAAGTTTTTGTTCTGATGAATTTGATTTGAATTCGTGCATATTAAAACTTTTCTTGCAAAAGCAAATGAACATGAACAGCATACCATACCAATATTTGATCCGTAATTTTGCTCCTCATTTCATAAAACAATAAAACGTACAGCAAATCAACTTATATACATACTACACATATTGTAGACATTGAACACTCTGTGTAGTTCCAGTTTTTTATTCTTTTTTATTGCTTAGATAGGTGGACGAGCTCACAGCCCACCTGGTGTTAAGTGCTTACTGGAGCCTATAGACATCTACAATGTAAACGCGCCACCCACCTTGAGATATAAGTTCTAAGGTCTCAGTATAGTTACAACGGCTACCCCACCCTTCAAACCGAAACGCATTACTGCTTCACGGCAGAAATAGGCGGTGTGGTGGTACCTACCCGTGCGGACTCACAAGAGATCCTACCACCAGTGAATGTTAATACACAAAATATTATTTTAATAACCTAAAAGTACATGTTATTATCCGCAACACGCTTCGTCAGATTACAGAAATAGAGTTATCAGCAACATGCTTCGTCAAAAAGAATTCCAGTTTCCAGTTACAGGTTCCAATTACAGTTCGTTAAAAAAATGTCCACTTCCAAAAAGTTCCAGAATTGTATGATGTCATAAAAAAACAATAACCGAGCAAGGTAAAAAAGTAGGCATTACTTACACAGGAATTATAACCACACAAATTGAATCAAGTATTATTTCAATATCATTTCACAATCGCACACAATAAAATCACGAATTTCCTGCAAAGCAAATCACAACAATGTTCCTTTCTAAAAAAAAAAAAAACAAAATTATTTACGTATTATCTCGGTTAAGTACCGATAAATTGATAAATTTGACGATAAGTATCGTTATATATACGTTTTATTCTATTATCGATTTAATTACACATAATAATGTTATCTTGCCTTGTTATGAAGTTAAATATGTACATACATATTCGAACATACGTCCAGTTTTTTTAGTAATCGACACTCAAAGTCGGTCGTCCAGACAGTTCAAGTACTTTATTTATAAGGTGTGTTAAATGGCTTTTAGAAAACGATAAATAAGATAGCGCTAACTGTCGCTAACACATAAAGTTGCAATGATGAATTTTTATCTATATATAGGTATATAAAAATGAATTACTGTTCCGAGTCCGACAGAAGCACCCGCCGCCTGCGGACGTGCTCACCGACCACTCAATCGCCCGGCCATTGTTCGCCTGGTTTTATTGTTAGCCCGGCCTTTGTTCACCCGGCTTTTGTTCGTGGCACATCTGCCGACAAAGTGTGTTCCTGGAAGTGTTTGTTTTGTTTTGGTTTATTTTGTTGTTTCCTTTTATTTTTGTTCTTTCTTTTTCCTGCAGTAATTGTGCCGCATCGCCACCTGTGTTCAATCGAACCGCTAAGTACCGAGAAGTTGGGGCCTCGCCGCAAGGCGAGTGTGTTTAAGACCCGGGACAGCCCCACCTGGGTCAGACATCATGGAAGCTTTATTTTCAGAATTCCTCCGACTTCGCCACCCAAAGCTCACTTCTGAGTTTCTGNGGGTCGCGATTCCGATCCGGTAGTAGATTCATTCGCGAAGCAATTGCTCTTGAGTTGTTAGGTCTCCTTCGGAGGCGCTCGGGCAGCTGTTAGCAAATCCCACCCCTCCTGGCTGAGCCTTTGCTCGCCCACCTGTCCTGGTGAAACTGGAAAGGCCTTCGGGCCACCAGTAATCTCTCAATCATAAAAAAAAAAAAAAAAAGAATTACTGTTCGTTAGTCTCGCTAACTAAAACTCGACAACGGCTGGACCGATTTGGCTAATTTTGGTCTTGAATTGTTGGTGGAAGTCCAGAGAAGGTTTAAAAGGTAGATAAATATGAAAATGCTCGGAATTAAATAAAAATAACAATTTTGTTTTTCTTTTGATGTGTCTCCCCGTCGGACGGATTCCTTTTGTTTGTTTTAAGTTTATTTTATACAAAAGATTATGTCTTTTATTTATCGATTGAGGCACTACGAAGTCTAAGTCTACGAAGGCACTACGAAGTCAGCTAGTTCTATCAATATTTTTGCGTTGTATTTCTGTAACATATTCACTTTGTCCTGGTTTTTATTGCTGGTGATCGTATCTAGATTGCATTATGTATTGTGTTTCACGGACCAAGCCTTTATATATCTCTGTTCTCACCGTTTTTAAAGCTCTAGATACAGGGTTATATGTAAGGGGTTCTATATGGTGTCGAATAGACGACTAAGTCGACCTTAGCCACTGCAGTAGCCTTACGCGCAACGTAGGTATTTAAGATATAAAAGAATTCGTAGCCTGGTAACGTGCTTAAAATCGAAAGACGCATCGAATCAGCGATCTTCAGAGAACAAGGATGCGTTTAGCTTGACGTTATATGAGTCGACTATTATCAAAGCCGGCAATGTGACTTTTGGACAATTATTGGTAAATCAGAAAAACGAATTATTGACTTTGTATTCCATTGGCAGTCACAAAACTCTTCTGAACGACATCTTAGATAAATAACAGGTTAAGTTAGTACTTTATTTAATGCAGGTTTTGAGCCGTATTCTTTGAAGGAGACGATTATATTCAACTCAATCTGTATCGCCATATCAATAACATTTTTTTGTCAAAATGCACAGATTGCCACCTTTGATAATAGACGACTCATATAACTACTTCAAGAAACACGAATATGATAAAATACACTAACGTAAAGTATTATTTGCAATTCAATATTGGTTTCGTTCAAAACTCAAAAATTTGTTTTTGAGTATGTCAAAACCCGTGATTAATACGTATGTAATTTTTTAATACGCTTTTATTAGCTTCAGACGTATGTATGTTTGAAACGGAATCTTTGACAAGAACATGATTTTGACCCCCTTCAAAACGTCGGATTAACTCGAAATTTGATATACTTATTAAAGACCGATGACAATACAATATTTAAAAAATTTAAAAAATTGAAATGCAACTAAAAAACACATATAGTTTAAAAAAACTAACAAAATACGCTTTTATAGAAAATCTTCTATTTTTTATTTTTTAGTTGGATTTTCTATAAAAGCGTATTTTGTTAGTTTTTTGAAACTATTATTTATTACTAATTAAAACACTAATTAAATTGAAAAAATACACAATTACAATGCTTGTCGAATAAATAATTATTCAATGACGCATAGACTCATAAAGATTTTTATGTTCTCTTTAATAGATTAGATTGCGCGACTTTACTTTTAAAATTTGAATGGCATTGATATCTGCCGATAAGATATATTATAAATATATATAATAACATGGTTTGTTAAAATACTAGTCTTGCGCTGCGGTTTTACTTGCTTTAAATTTTTTTGTCAGAAAGAATGAAACACATTGCGTTTGGTCCCTAGACTGTAATTATGTAACATATTATCGCATATATCATAGTTGATAATATGTATGTGGCATTGTCGTGTCATATCATTTACCATTATATATTAGTACAAGTATCATATGTGTTAATCCAGGTTGTAAGCTCTATCTTTTTTGATTGAGTAATAAACATCCAAATATGCGAACATTCGCATTTGTAATATTTTAGTATGAATATTAAATTTTATGTAAACAATATTATGCTTCGCTGTAAATATTCTATTTCAAGCACCGATTTTTTTTTATTACTAAAACGGGTGGATGAACTTACAGCCCACATGTTGTTTAGTAGTTATTGAAGCCCATCTTCAGCGTAAATTCGCCACCCACCTTGAAATATAAGTTCTAAGGTCTCAGTATGGTTACAACGGCTGCCCTACCCATAAAACCGAAACGCATTAATGCTTCACGGCAGAAATAGGCAGGTGGTGGAACCTTTTTTATTTTATTTCCCTTGTAGGCAGACGAGCATACGGCTCACCTGATGATGAGTGGTTACCGTCGCCCATGGACTTCAGCAATGCCAGGGGCAGAGCCAAGCCGCTGTCTATCGCTTAATACTCTCCACAAGCCTCGTTTGAAGAAGGACATGTCATAGCGCTCGGGAAACACCGTGGAGGGGAGCTCATTCCATAGTCGGATGGTACGTGGCAAAAAAGATTTCTGGAAACGCACTGTGGATGACCGCAGTGGCTCCAGGTAGTATGGATGAACTCTACTCCGGTGGCGGGCGGTGCGATGTCATCTCGAACAATTTCTCAGAGCACTCCCTACCTACCCCTGCCTCTGTCAACTGTCTTCTATTGACGGCCTGCGTTCATTAAAGCGACTTCAACCTTTATTAGAAGAGTTCTAAATAAAAAATGGCGTCTGGGCCAATCTTGAGACGCAAGTGTTTGGGCCACGATATTCTACTTCTCCACACTTCTCTTTCCTTGTATCTCGCATTGGATTATCAACTTAGACTCTTGATCGTATTGTGTATTTTCCGTTTCTTACTTATTAGCACCTCGCTTTATTTTCTCAAACAATGGTACTATTGGTGAGAAATCTCATTGTGGTTTCAACAATAGTTGTCCGGGAACCTCAACAGGAAACCGGGTATTTTTATTTATTTAATATGCCACAAAAACATTGTGAACTTAGGTGGACATTGTTACGTATTATAAGTCACAGATTATATTATGTTTTGTTATTGTTGTTTAGCTTGAGGTGGTAAAATATGAGATTAGTATTGTATCAAGTGCTCATCATACGAGACTTCTTTTCCCTCTACTCGATATCGAGTAGAGGGAACTCGCTCTCGTCCCCGTCATCTGACTGCCGGAGTCCCGCAAGGCTCCGCGCTCTCCCCGTTATTATTTAGTTTGTATATCAATGATATACCCCGGTCTCCGGAGACCCATCTAGCGCTCTTCGCCGATGACACGGCTATCTACTACTCGTGTAGGAAGATGTCGTTGCTTCATCGGTGACTCCAGATCGCAGTAGCCACCATGGGACAGTGGTTCCGGAAGTGGCGAATCGACATTAACCCCACGAAAAGCACAGCGGTGCTCTTCAAAAGGGGTCGCCCTCCGAACACCAGTTCGAGCATCCCACTCCTTAATAGGCGCGCAAACACCTCCGCCGTTAGCCCCATCACTCTCTTTGGCCAGCCCATACCGTGGGCCTCGAAGGTCAAATACCTAGGCGTCACCCTCAACAGAGGGATGACATTCCGTCCCCACATAAAAACGGTATGCGACCGCGCCGCGTTTATACTAGGACGACTCTACCCAATGCTTAGTAGTCGAAGCAAACTGTCCCTCCGTAGTAAGGTAACTCTCTACAAAACTTGTATATGCCCCGTCATGACGTATGCAAGCGTAGTGTTCGCTCACGTAGCTCGCACCCACTTGAAATCCCTTCAGGTTATTCAAACCCGATTCTGCAGGATAGCCGTCGGAGCACCATGGTTCCTGAGGAACGTGGATCTCCACGATGACCTGGAGCTCGACTCAGTTAGTAAGTATCTACAGTCGGCATCGCTGCGCCATTTTGAGAAAGCGGCACTACATGAGAACCCTCTCATCGTGGCCGCTGGAAACTACATACCCGACCCAGTAGACCGAATGGTAAACCGTCGACGTCGCCCAAAGCACGTCATTACGGATCCTCCTGATCCATTAACAGTGCTTTTAGGCACCACAAGCATCGGTCACCGTCCTCGTCGAACCCGTCGCTTGCGACGAAGGGCTCGACGAGCGAATTAACTCATAGACACAGCCCACTGAGTTTCTCGCCGGATCTTCTCAGTGGGTCGCGTTTCCGATCCGGTGGTAGATTCTGCGAAGCACTGCTCTTGCTAGGGTCAGTGTTAGTAACTCCGGTTGAGCCCCGCGAGCTCACCTACAAACGTTAGGGTGAAGCTGAAATAGCCTCTCAAGGCTATGAGCATAGGTAGGACAAAAAAAAAGGAATCAAAACGAATTTACTCCGAGTTTTAGGGGTTGAAGTACTTAAATAAGCCCTCACGAGTAGGTGCGATGGTTCAACTTATTTATAGTGCGGAATATTCATGCCTTTTGAATTTGAAGGGTGGGATACTGATATACAATGCAATTGGAACTTAGATCACTCTTAAGATGGGTGGCGGCATTTATATTATAATTTATAATAACTCCGGTAGCTATTTAACATCCGGGTCAATTCCTCCCTACATCCATTGACGCAAAAAACCAATCGCAAAATACGTAAATACACATCTGTTGAATTTAATGATAAATTCTCACTGTAATTCTACCGATAAGACTGCTAAATTGATACTCAATCGTTTGGAAAATGCGCAAAAACAATTGACTATCAATTTAAATTTTTTATGTAAGTATATTTTACTCCACGTGTATAGCGCTGACTTTGGAATTAAATTCACGTGTTTGATGAATTATATCCGCAATCAGACTGAAATTGTTTCCCGAATTCGCAAAACGAGGAAGTGTTGTGCAGTATGTAATGACAAAGGTTATGTTTTACCAACGCCTTTCATATTTCGTACCTATGTTTATGTTTTGCTTCAGATGGAGGAGGATTTTTTTTAAAAGGAAGCTTTTAATCAAAAAAATTTTTTTTCTACTAAGCCTGTTCGAGATCGTATTCGTATTAGTGATGACATCATTCTGTGGACGAGTAGAGGACGATGATTATGCAAATTTGTAGTAATGTGATTGGTCGTCCATATTGTTCCCCTTACCCCCCAATCCTTGATTCGTGTAACACACCATTTCAATCATGTAGAAAAGTTTTAATAATAGACACCTAACATTATAACTGTAGAAAAATACGCCACAAAAAAAAACAGTTTTTTATTTCTCGAAAACCAAAATTCACCAAGCCTCTCAAACAACAAATAAAATCGCAAGCCGCGCCAAAGCCTTTTAATTTAATTATAAGCACTATCTTATTTATCAAAATTTAGTGTTTCGGATGTTTTGTGATCGTCCGCACCCAAGATCGAACAATATCGAAAATAATCATGTACGAATAAAAATATTAAAGTCTTCTCGTTTGCAGGTTTGGTATTCAAGGTAAATGACACTTGACCTCATGACTCGTAGAGGGCGGTTACTTTCTGATCCCTGCCTTTCTAATGGTTCCGTGTCATTCATCTTTTTTAGAAAAAAAAAGCACCTTCGGCTTTATATTAAATCGTCTCTGTATTGAACATCTATGTCTATAACAGCTAGTAGATATTCCTTCTGAAAGTTTACGATAAAATAATATAACATACAGTAAACATGACCTAACAAGAAAGAGAAAAAATGCATAGAATTTTCCATGATAAACATATCAGGTTTTTTTAATGAAATATTATTTTAAATCTTAAATAATATGTTCTTGTATTTTTTTTATTTAATTTAATACTCGAATAATTGCTTTTTATTATGAGTCTTAGAAAACTGTCTCTTAGTTAAGAGTAAGAAGATTCAGTAGGCCGCAACATCAGTTGGTGCTACGCCACTACGACGACTACACGTCGCACTGTTAGCCTTTGCGTAGAGCTCGTAGACGTGTTCTCGAAAGCTACGGAATTGCAGTATAAACTTATTAAAAAAAAAAAAAACAGTTGTGCTAAAAATTAATAAAATAGTTTTTTTTTAAATTGAAATTCCAAAAAGAACTTAAGAATTTTGAATAGTGAAATTTTGAATTGCATCTAAACGTTTGGATTCTGTGTGCGGTGAGAGACCATGGATGAATCGACGCAAATGGATGTGACAGCTTGTAATGACACAACGTGCTCTGACACCACATCCACTCCGGAGCAGAATTTCGTTATCGGAGTATATAGCATACTGTTAGTCATTGGAGCTGTTGGAAATGTGGCTGTGCTGATCTCCTTACTTCGAAACAGGCGAAGGAAGTCCAGGGTCAGCCTTCTCATGACGCATCTCGTCATAGCAGATATGATCGTCATATTCTACTTTATTCCTCTGGAGGTATGTTTTTTTTTACTTTTGTTCATAATCTTATTTTCATTGGATTTGTAGGCTGACGACAATACGGTCTACTTGGTGGTGAGTGGTTAACGTCGCTTATGGATATCAGAGTTTGACTAAGTACTCTCCGCTAGCCTCGTTTGAAGGACATGTTATAGCGGTCAGGAAACGCGTAAGAGGGTAATTCATTCTAACGTGCCAAAAAAGATTTCTGGAAACACACTATGAAGCTCATGATAGCTTTTTGAGGCGTTTTTGAGATTAATTCTGAATGACTCACAAATAAAAAAATAGAACCGATCCTCGAATATGATATTCGGTTTTATGGAATATTCATATCAATGATACAAAAAAAATAGGTGTAGATAAGTAAACGAACTCCCAGCCCATCTGATGTAAAACAGTCACTATAATATATAGCGAATAGCCAATCTCACTTTACATTATTTTTTTATATATAGGTGGACGAGCTCACAGCCCACTTGGTGTTAAATGGTTACTAGAACCCATATACATCTACAATCTAAAATCGAAACGCATGGCCTCTTCGCGTAAAAAGAGGCAAGGCTGTGGTAACTACCATAGGGATTTAAAATATTTCCTGCCACCAGTAAATGCCGGTTAGCGATCGCAGTACATTGACCTAATACTCAGAGAATGCTGCTGCTTCCTAATATTCGGTAAATAACTTAGTGCTTTTACGACAATAGGCTTGGTCTAAGACTAGATTAGACTTAGCCGGTCGCACCAAGTTAGACTTTTAAGTGTGCTGCGATGATTAATCAGTACTGCTAACTTAAAAGGTCTACAGAAAAATAAAAGGAAAGTCAAGGTGAATAATAGTTTTAAGTTACGCCTAACAGAATGCGCTTCAGTGTAATCATGTTTTCTGTGGAAGTCACGTTGCACTGACCCTGAAAGCAAAGTCGTCGTGGCCTAACGGATAAGACGTCCGGTGCATTCGTGTTGAGCGATGAGCCGGTGTTCGAATCTCAGGCGGGTACCAATTTTTGTAATGAAATTCGTACTCTACAAATGTTCACGATTGACTTCCACGGTGAAGGAATAACATCTATACTAATATTATAAAGAGGAAAGATTTGTTTGTTTGTTTGTTTCGAATAGGCTCCGAAACTACTGGACCGATTTGAAAAATTCTTTTTCCATTAGAAGCCGACATTGTCCCTGATGAACATAGGCTACTTTTTTTATTTTTTTATTTTTGTTTTTTTTGTTTCATGTGTGTTTTAATGTTTCCGAAGCGAAGCGAGGGCGGGTCGCTAGTCGTGTAATAAAAATGAAACCCGCAAAATTATAATTTGCGTAATTACTGGTGGTAGGACCTCTTGTGAGTCCGCGCGGGTGGGTACCACCACCCTGCCTATTTCTGCCGTGAAGCAGTAATGCGTTTCGGTTTGAAGGGTGGGGCAGCCGTTGTAACTATACTTGAGACCTTAGAACTTATATCTCAAGGTGGGTGGCGCATTTACGTCGTAAATGTCTATGGGCTCCAGTAACCACTTAACACCAGGTGGGCTGTGAGCTCGTCCACTCATCTAGCAATAAAAAAATAATATGCTTAATCAATTTACAATAGAGTTTCTGTAGTCAAGTCAATTGACGACCGTTTTAAATATAATAACATTTTGATTATAGCTAGGGTAAATGAGCTCATGGCCCACGTGTTGCTAAGTGATTATTACCAGAATCCATAGACATAACAAGGCCAATGGCGCAATCCACCTCGTGTCGAGCTTCATGTCTCATTTATATAAGTATAGTAATTACGGAAAATATATTTAGTTATTACACGATGTGATCTCTTCTTCGTGGAAGTCATTAGTGAATATTTCCTGAATTCGTAATTCGTTTGAAATATTGATTTAATATAAATTATATAAAAACAGCGGCCAGTCGCATCGCTCGTTACGAATACGATACGATTTGATTATACTTCGCATTCTATTTGAAATCCGATCGCAGCCAAACTTCCGACAATCGGTGATTCCCTGAATATGAAAATCCTCACATTGTCCTAGGGGGTGCCGAGATAGGGAACATACATTTAAACACATGGACTTAAACACATGGTCTGGTGGTAGGACCTCTTGTGAGTCCGCACGGGTAGGTACCACCACCCCGCCTATTTCTGCCGTGAAGCAGTAGCAGTAGCAGCGTTTCGGTTTGAAGGGTGGGGCAGCTGTTCTAACTATACTGAGACCTTAGAACTTATATCTCGAGGTGGGTGGCGCATTTACGTTGTAGATGTATATGGGCTCCAGTAACCACTTAACACCAGGTGGGCTGTGAGCTTGTCCACCCATCTAAGCAATAAAAAAAAATGTACGTATGGACTTTACTAAGAACCTGGCCGCTTATGTTTTGCCGCTGTCCATGAGGAAGTTTTGAGTGGTGCTAAACCAATAGAAGAATGAAACAGTAAACCCGATAGCATTAAAATTACTTATGGAACTGGGAAAAACAAGCTTTGTAATACCTCTCGAATATATGTACTATAGTATAAGTTGATTATTAGAATTAAGGACGCTTAAGTCGGACATGAATATTATTACTTTGCTCGTTCCGGTAAGAATATCACGTGAGGATGTGCGTGAGCATTTACAGCTATAAAGGAATCCGTTTCGGTTGTATTATTTTCAACAGAATCATTTGTATTTTTTTTTTAATCCAATCTTTTTTGTGTTCTCGATATAGGCCGATGAAACATTTTAGATTTATCATAGTATGTATGGGCGCAAACGCCACTATTGGCAATAATTAACATAATAATATATAGTTTAGTTAATTTTATGTTAATATTTATTTATTATTAGCAAGATGAAACTGTTATTCTACCATATTTAATAATTAGCAGACACTGTTTTGATGTGAAAATGTTCATAATATTTTTAATGTGTATATTATTGTTTAAAAACACAAATGACTGTATAAATAATTAAATATGAATAAAGCATAAATATTGATAATAATTTATATTATAATTAACAGTAATAATTAAGTATTGTAAATGTTATGCAATGATGTTGTTGGCGCCATCTATCATTAGGCTGGATAATAACAATGTTAGTTAATATTACTTAAAAGTAATTCACGTAAAATAAATTAAATGTTAGTCATGTAAAAATCACTAAAATATGTATTTTGAATATGAAGCTATATTTTGTGAATTGTTTCACAATAATTACATTTGTTTGTATAAAAGAAGTTGTAGTTGCTATAACCATCAATTACAAAATGGCTAATTGTGTAAGAACCACTGAATAACTAAGGCGTGGCTTTTTGTTGTAAACAAGTAATGTTAAAGTTTTATAGAATTGTATTGTATTTTCATTGTAAAAGACCTTATGTGTGAAAACCCGGGCGTAGCGCCGACATATGCGTCCTCGTAATATTCGTATAGTTACCTATATACTTGACTTGATACGAAAGGCGATTGCATGCAACAGAGATACGAATGTTGCGATGGATGTGTGTAGTAACAAGAACGGATAGAATACGGAATAAACATGTTAGAGGAAGTCTGAAAGTGGCACCTGTGACCAGTTGAGAAGTGCGTGTTTGGTATGGACCTGTCATGAGACGAAATGAAAATGAGGTTGGTAAGAGATTGTTAACTATGATATAGAGGAAGAGGCGGACCTAAGAAAAATGGATGAATTGCGGAAAGACATGTGTAAGAGTGAAGTGAGTGACGAAATGGTATATGATAGAGGAGTATGGTAGGAGAAAACAGGTTGCGCCGACCCCAGGTGACTGGGAGAAGGGCAGAGGAATGATATTATATCTATTTGACTTGTTGCATTAAAGAACATGTTTGTCGATAAGACGAGAGTGTGTGAATGACTATATGAGAGAGAGAGGGGAGTGAGTGTTGAGATGACGGCTGATAGAAGAGAATGGAAGACAAAAATTAGCTGTGCCGATCCCACCTAGTGGGATAAGGTGGAGAAAAAGAAGAGAAGAGATTAGCACACGCAATCACTGCCCATTTGGTGTTAAATGGTTACAGGAGCCCAAGGACATCAAAAATGTAAATGCCGCCACTTAAATTGAGATATGAATTTTAAATCTCGGTTTAACGGCTCGGCTGCCCACCCTTCAAAGTGAAACGCATTACGATAGAAATAGGTAGGGTGGTAGTGATGTTGATGGTGGTGGTGGTGACCCGCGCGGGCTCACAAGACGCCCTGTCACCATCTAAAATATTACTTTATTAACGGTAGGCAGCGCTTAGCTCTACCTCTGGCATTGCTGACGTCTAAGAGCGACGGTAACCATTTTACTATCAGGTGGGCCGTATGCCGTATGCTTGTCTACCAAACATATTAAAAAAGTAGTCAGTAAAATATATAGTTCTAAAATAGTATTATTTTATTCATCTAAAAAAATAATATTTATTCAATATCTACACAACGTTTCTTTTTAATTAGCATTGCAAAACTTTCAGGGTATATAATAGGATCGAGCATATGGATAGTAAATCTAAATGCGTTTTTTTTTTGTGGTGTTACTTCATTACTATTTCTGCCGTGAAGCAGTCTTGCGTTCCGGATCGATTGGTGGATTGAATAATACAGTTGAGACTTCAACCTCAAGTCTATGGGCAAGGAAAATCAAATCTCGATTTATTATATATATACGAACGGAAGTGTAACTAATATTACTTCAAAATAGCTTCTCAGATACGTGGTAAACATACGTCATAATACTTCTGGTATTAATTCCGCAACATTGGCGTCCACAACACGTGTGATATGTAATGTTCATAAAAACATATTGTGGGTGGTATCGTTACGATAAAAACTTTCTATTTTTTAACAAAACTGCTTATTATGTCGTTGGAGAGCGCTTGAAGAATATTCGGGTAATACGTGATTTGGTTGCTTCCGCAATATCAACTTTGGACCTTAATTGCAGGAGGCCCGTAAATTTTCGCTTGAAAAAAATGATTCTACAGTTTTTGCATTTTTATGAGTAAG